TGCGATCGAATCCCCGCAAAAGCTGGAGCTTTTCCAACGATCGAATGCGGGAAATTGAGCGCCACAACCATATTTTGCTACGAAAAATACTCTCACAGAAGCCAACTTACCATTTGGCTACACCAAAAACTACCAAAGTGAGTATTATATTGATAAAACAATATCAAATTCATTCATTAATTGTGGAAACATCAGTTCGCTACATTACCCCCCACGACGCGTATCACTAGCGCAGCCATTAACCGAAAGAAGAAGCAACGACAAATTGATCTTGATAATCAAGGGCTTAAGCGCCGCATCGAAGCTATAACACTTCGGCGTCCCACACTGCAACATTTAAATTAATAATAAATGTTAATTTTTGATTTTTTGAACATACATACAAATTTCATTTATTATTTGAGACTAAATGTTGAACAGTATATACCAATAAATATATTTTGGCCATTTAAAATTAACTTTGTATTATAGAAGTCAATTGGATATAAAATGTAAAAGTTTAACTAATTGAGATACAAAAGTTTGAAAAGGGTGTACAATTTAGTTTCATATTAAGAATTGTAAAAAAAAGTTATTAATTGTAAATTCATTCCCGGGGATTTACTATTCTATTGTTTTAGCTACTTGCTTTCCTGAATCAGAATTGGCAATCTCTTCAGCCTTATTTAAAAAGGTTTCACCCAACGCCTTAATAGCTTTGAATGCTGCTTCGCCATTTTGCTCTTTGAATTCCACTTCGTTTTTGAGCTTTATCTGTTCACGTTTCTCCAATTCACGATAAATAACTTGCCCAATCTAAATAAAGCGTAAAATATGTTAATAGAACAATTGATACTTCACACGGTTCACTTACGTAGACATCGATAGCTGCATACAGAAGTTGATTTTCATCAAGTGGTATAACATGCCATTTACTCATACGTACTTTTTTGTTTTTGTCTACAGTTTTCTCTACCTGATTGCAGAACAAAATTCGACATTAGCAAATAATTGTTAAGTATTGTTTGTAAAAATTTTATATAACTTACAACATAATTAGCTAAGCGGTCTAAGCTCCATCGCCCACCAGTTTCACACACTTGGTTACACCAAACACCCAAGTCTACACACTTTTCAATAAGATGATCTGCATTTACTTCGGGGAAATCACGAGCCAGCTTGCGAAAATCACTAAAAGCAATATAATTGAATTGAAATGCCGAAATAGATATATACATATGTATGTATATATTTCAAAAGATAGTTTTATACTTTTTTATGTTTACACCATGGAGTCGAACTTTTGGATGCTTTAGCAGTGCTACCAGAGCAGCAGGCAGGCGTTTCAAATTGGTCAATTGAAATATGTAACAGCAGTGCTCCTCGACACATATTTGTATAACGGCAGATTTGCCCGGTCCAGTTTGAAAAGAAAATGGCCATTCCATGTCAAACGCCATCGGCACCAATTCAATGTGTACTTGCTTTTCTACCCACTGACTGCAAAATAAATTTCATTACAAATACTATAAGCAGCAAAGACAGTATAAAATGCAATTGCTTACAATATTAGGTCTGATGCTTCAGCTATTTCATGTCCTTCTGTGTAGTATTTTATAGCGCCCTTGTAATTTATAAATGGTAATTTACGCTTAATTTCTATTTTTTCCGGGATTACAATGTCGTCTTCAGCCATTGAGCGTGTGTTACGCGTCAAGCGTGCACTACGCCGCTTTGATGGATTGTCATCCTGGTCAGCATTTTCTTTGCCCTTTGGTGGAACTATCGCGTTCTGAAAGTGCAAATCCACTTGTAAACAAAAGGTCACTCGTTTAACTAACAATTAACATTTACCTCTTCTGTACTTCTTTTTCTACGCTGTCTTATCATTTTACTAAATATGATATAAAAATTAGGTACTTCGATTATTTACTTTCCAACTTATGCTAAAATTACCTGGGTTAAAATAATGTAAACTTTTATATTGACAAATACAGCTGCTGATTGGTTACAAATCAACTTTGCGCGCCAAATTATGCGGTGCTGACGGATCGACATTTTCATCTGACGTACCAACATATCATGAATATATATCCAAACAGTTTGCAATTATTAAGAAACTTTTAACCGCTAATAATAAAAACTATAATCATATTTAAAATTGTTCATGACCAATTAGTCTTCGTAATTTACATCTTTTTTCAACATAAAAAAGGGGAACAGTTTAAGAAAACAATAGATTTGTGCAACCCTGTGTTTCAAACAGCTGTTTTGTTGTCACGAATTTAACCTCAATCAAAATAAACCGGTCTGTCGAATTTGAAGAATATTGTTTTATTAAGATAGTTTTAAATTTCACGTAATAACATATAATTATCGCAATGGACACAAGAATGAATACATTTTTTGTTTCGGAAAAAATATCCAAAACACGCTGGCTCCCGGATAATTTACAAGCAAGCGAACGTTTCTTAACTGGCAGCTGGGATATGCCTTCAAATTTTGTGCGTTTGTGGCGTTTACAGCAGAATCAATATGCCGATGACTACAATGAATTTGTGCCGCGCTGTAGTGACAAACAATCCTTCAATAGTGACATTACGGGGATCGAATTCATTACCACCGATTTAGCTGTCGTCAGTAGCTGTGATGGTAAGTATACTTATATGCCGCTATCTTCTAACCGCTTACAAAATTATTACCTTCCAGGTCGCATAACAGTACTGGAAATTAAGTGTGCAGTTGAAGACGATATTTTGCAACAAAACGCTCAAAGTGAAGTCCTCCACAAATTTGCCGCAAGTGGTGATGCGGCGCCTTGTGTGGCAGTATCGGTATTTGAAAGAGAGATAGCTACAGTTGGCGAAGATGGTCGGTTGAATCTGATCAGTGCTAATGATGTGAAAAAAATACGACGCACTCTTGAAGCAGACAGCATTGCACTAACAGCTGTCAAATACGTTAATCCACATGAGGTGCTTACTGCAAATCGTATGGGTGTCATACGCATGTTCGATACCAGAGCAACTGATGAAGAGGTAGCTGTGACGGCTTTCATGACATCGTGTGAAGACGAGAGACGGCCGAATTACGTATCTGCACTCACCTCACATCCCACCCAACCGCATATTGTACTAGCCGGATCCGAGGAGGGCTCCATTACCGTATGGGATCTTCGTCAACCCGGCTATCCGGCATCTTACTTAAGTGCACACACCAGCGCTATAACGGAAATTGGGTTTCATCATAGAGAACCTTCGAAACTCTTCACAGCTTCTGAGTGTGGCGAATTATGGTTGTGGCAGCAGCAATCTGACATTGGCATGACAAATATGGAAAAACCGGTAGCTGAAAATGTTAATCCTTGGCTAAATGGCGAGCGCGCAAAGAATCGAATTAATGTTACATGTTTAATTTCCAATTTGCGAAAACCTATCAATACATTGGACGCAAGCGGCTCGAAGCTAATCTGCGGCAGTGATAGTGAAGCAATTTATTTAATTGATAATATATACTAATTGTAGTCTTAGAGCTAGAGTACGGTATTAAAATTGGTTATTTTTTTAAGTTTCCTGAATTTTTATTTAAAAATCATTGTGCTGATTTATACGAATTATTCTATAGTAGAAAGGTATAAAAGTTTGGTTATTGACTTCGCTTATTGCAGACATCTACCCACAACAATTTTTGCCAGAGCAGGGAATGTTAATGAATAGAGAAGGCGCAAACAGAGAATGTTAATGCATTTTTATACTCTCGCAACCTGTTGCTACAGAGTATAATAGTTTTGTTCACCTAACGGTTGTTTGTATCACCTAAAACTAATCGAGTTAGATATAGGGTTATATATATAAAAATGATCAGGATGAAGAGACGAGTTGGAATCCGGGTGACTGTCTGTCCGTCCGTCCGTCCGTGCAAGCTCTAACTTTAGTAAAAATTGAGATATCTTTATGAAACTTGGTAGACATGTTTCTTGGTACCGTGAGACGGTTGGTATTGCAGATGGGCGTAATCGTTAATCAAAAACAAATAACTTGCCATAACTAAGCTCCGCAATAAGATACAAGACTGTTATTTGGTACACAGGATCACATTAGGGAGGGGCATCTGCAGTTAAAACTTTTTTATTTAAAGTGGGCGTGGTCCCGCCTCTAATAGGTTTAATGTGCATATCTCCTAAACCGCTAATGCTATAATAACAAAATTCACTAGAAGCAAATGTTTTTAGCACTTCTATTGACGGTGTGAAAATAGTTGAAATCGGGTGGCAACTCCGCCCACTCCCCATATAACGGTATTGTTAAAAACTACTAAAAGCGCGATAAATCAAGCACTAAACACGCCAGAGACATTAAATTTTATCTCTGAGATGGTATAAAATGGCTTTATAGGAACCGCGTTCAAAATTAGTCAGTGGGCGTGGCACAGCCCACTTTTAGGTGAAAACCCATATCTTGAGATCTGCTCAACCAATTTCAACCAAATTCAGTGCATAACGTTCTTTTCATGTTTCTATGTCATAGTGCAAAAATGGGCGAAATCGGACTACAACCACGCTTACTTCCTATGTAACACCATTTTCAATTCCATCTGATTCTTTCACTTTCCACTATGCAAATCAGGTAACAATGAATATATCGGGGTAAAACTTTGCGTGAATAATGCAATTAAAGTATGCCACCTTGCGGCCAAAAATTGTCTAAATCGAACCAAAACTGTTCAAACCCCTAAGTACTAAATATGTGGACCCCAGTGCCTATAGATGACCTTCTACCGAAAATATCTGTCAATCCACAAAGAAATCTCAAACGAGATTTGACTTTGCGAGAGTATAAAATGTTCGGTTACATCCGAACTTAGCCCTTCCTTACTTGTTTTTATTATATATATTAACATTCTCTGCTGTGCGTGCCCAGCTCGTAACACAAATCAGGGATCGAACTTTTGGAATCTACAAAAAGCATAATGGAAATAAGTAGTATCATTGAGGGCACCAAATGATTTGAACACAACAATGGAACGTGATATCAAGATATATGGTCTTACGATAGTGTATCCAAATGGCGCTTCTGGCGCTAATTGTGCTCTCTTACCTATCCTACCTTATCTCTACTCTCTGATCCCTCCCCTTTCTCTTCTCGACCTCAGATCGCCCGTAAATTATTTTTCCTTTCATCTCCGTTATTTTATTTTCCTTTTCCAATGGGTTTGATCCTACTATGATTTTTTTACTTTCAAAAATTATCGAGACCGGTAAAATATTAATAGTGGTCTATTAGGGTTAGAACAACCGATAAAAGTAAAGCTTGAACTTTTATAGAAAATGTAATTTTTAATTAATTAAGTGTATGGTTTATAAAATATTTACATATATACATAAATATATTCGTAGCGACTAAAAATAGGAAATAAATATGAAAACTTTTAAGATCTATACTATTGTGGAATATGGTTTGGAAATGGCATCGTCCTGATGCAACAAGCAGGGCCGGGTGAATGGCTGCGTTATGGCGTTGATCCAAACATTACCGACTAAAATTATAATTATATATTACAGAATAAAATCAATTCGTAAAGTATTAAAATATGGGTGTTAAATTCATATACTCACTCCACTTTGAACCCTTCAACACCGGACAGGCTGCGTGCCTTGTGCGATAATCGCCCTCCAATGACCGGTGTAAATTGTACCAGAATAGCACATTGCCCTGTTTGGGTTTAATGGCGAAATTCAAATTCGGGAAGGCGGTAGCGCCACCCTGTTCGACTTCAGAAAGCTGAAATTTAGTAAAAAAAGTTTTGTTGTTTACGAATTTACATGAAAATACTGAACACATACTTACATAAAATATGGCGGTGGCAATGCGATTACCTAGCCCCTCGGGTAGGCGTTCGGTGTCCTGAAAACGCAGCGAAAATGAATAAAGAAACCAATAAATATGTATATTAACTAAATTGCTGCACTCGTGCCATAACTCAATATTTGTAGGTATGTCTGTGTGCTTACCAAATAAAAGTCCCAGTGCGGCTCATAGTGGCCGCCCAGTCCGTAGTTGGCGACCTGTAATTTCTCGCAACGCGTTACATCGAGGCCAGTGATGTCGTGCAAATCACGCAACATATCCTGCATGTAAGTGTGCTCCTGATATGCCAACCAAGCGTTCTTGCTGATACGGAAGTCGGTAGCTTTGGACAGAGTGACCACATCGCGTACAGTGGAGCGTTGCATGTAGGGCGTGGCCATGTATTTGATGGTGGCAATCTTGGTGTCGTCGATAAAGTCGTGAAATGTCAACACCAATGGATCCAGGCTGTGCTCCTCCACTTTGACGGGGGCGATAAGGCGATAAGGATGATTATTGCTTTCGTAACGGCAGCGAAGCGGACGCAATTGCGTGGGCGATGCGGTTATTTCGCCGCGACACACTTTCTTATACGTTTCAAATTCCTCGGTTTGCTAAGTGTAGGCAAGTAGAGAGGAGTTTGTGTGATAAGCTGTAACCCTTTAAATTTGGGTAGCGCTGTCGACTTACATGGTAGTACGAGGGGCTTGTGGTTAGCGTTGGTTTCCGCTCGCCAACCGGACTGAGTATAGTGTTTCTCACATATGAAGCGGTCGCGCGTGTGGGATCAAGACTCAAGACATCATCTGAGAGTTTGAGGGCAGTTTCTAAATCGCCTGAAATGTATTATAATAATAACATATTTCCAAGGAAAAGTGAAAATAGCTGACCTAAATTGAGTAAACTCTTTGCGACATCCTCTACATACTCGAGTGTGTATGGGTCTTTGTAATATGGTTCGCGACTCAGTCGTTGCATGGACTCCTTCAACCATAATTTTGTATGATTGTACTCCTCCAAATGAAACAGTTGCTTACCCAGAACGAAACAATCCTGCCAGGTCATGCTTGTTCTAGAAAGAAGTGTTAATAGCCGATATTGAAACAAATAAGAAACTTGAAAAACTATTTCAGAAAGTACGTATATCACTATACCAAATTGTTACCGTGATAAATACTTAAAATTCAAAGATCAAAACTCCTACCAATACTTACCCATATTTGACACCATTTAAGAAACCGCCCGCTATCTGCGCCGTATCTAGGTGATAGGTCTCCTGTAGACGCGCCAAAGCAGCCGCTGATGCTTTGAAATCTTCTCCACTTGGGAAACTAAGTGTTTCGCGAAACTCAACCATTTGCCGCAGGAAAGCTAATGTAAGAAAGTATTATTTTAGGAAGAAGCTAAGTATTCTGGAATATTATAGACAATATTTAATTTGCTCACTCTTCGCAGCCTCATCTGACTGTACGCGCTCCTCATAAATCGTCCAATCGGTGGTCAGGCGCTTCATTAAGCGGTAAACATTCACTGGATTGGTTAAATAATTTTCGGTATTGCGGGCCGCCTGCGCATATTCCATTTCGATGCGGTGCAGTTCACTAAAATGATATTCATGTTATCAAAACTTTAGTAAGTTATAGTGACCTTCAACATATATTTTCAAATAAAATAGATTTTCAAATAAAACTAAAATAAATAAAGTTGCGATTCAATTGGTGTAAAAAGGTTTGAAAGCTTGAAGCATAGCACGATAAGCCAAGCCCTCTTTAAGTGTGATACTAAATAAAGCAAAATGTCCAATAGCACCGATTACATTTACTATTTTCCGTTCGTTTATGTAAATCTCCATATATATTGTAAATCTTGATGCTCTAATTATGAGGTGGTATAAATAATAAATCAAGCGCAGAGCTTATAAGTTCATAAGAAAGCCCCAATATTATACCTCATACATATACATAGACAATTAACTAATTCGGTAAATTAAAGGCTTGTTTGAAATACCTAAAAAGATCTATCGGTTTTCAGATGAAGCTTTCCATAATCATTCAGTCATTGAACTAAGTAAACATTTCCAGTGCTATCCAAACCGCCTGTTCTTCTCATAGCAAATCTGCTCTCTGCTCTCGATCTAAACTTGAACTTGTTGATTGTCGGCTTCACTTTTGCTATTCTTATCGATTATCATAAACTTGCCTATCAATACTTCAGTATCAGTCGTTTTACATCGTGTTCGCCGTGTAGATAGGTGTTTTAATAAGATAGGCTTTTAAGGCATTCGCAAACGTGTCGCCGGCCGACAGCCAGTGTCTAACTTATTAAACATTAAAATTTTATTATTCAACGTAATAATTTAATGTTTAACGTCAGTGGTACCGGTTTGAAGAAATCTTAATTTTTAATTCAAACATTTCTTCGTTTTATCTTTAGTTATTTTTAGCTAGTTAGTTTGGCATTTGTATTATAATGGCGATGCTCAGTCGGTTCATCGTTTGTTCATGATCATTGCGAATTTCATCTATACATAGCACAAGGCCGTGTGCGAAAGAGGGTTACGTGCACGTGCGCCTCAAACTAACGGATTTGCTTAGTATAAATTGAGCTCTCTTTAGGAGACTCTTGCTGTTTTGTGAAATTCTCACACTTCAGATTTAATTAGGCATTACGTAAAAGGCGACTAAAAGCCAAATGCACTATGACTGTTATTTTACCTTGCCTAGAAATATCAGCATAGTAATGATGTCAGAAATAGTGCTATAATACTCAGCTTGAACTGATATTATAGACTTTAAATGAGATTCCAAATAAAAAGACATTTGACGTTCAAGCGACAAATGTCACCAGTCATTGAGTAATGGAGAGCTCAACTGACAGTATTGTAGCTTCGGCTACACAGTCTTACCGGAGACTCCACTCTGGTACCACGGGGAGCAGAATGACCTTGAACTTCGGTTCAATTTGCTTATTGGGTCTGGCCCTTTGGAGAGTATAGTGGTGGCTTTGGTTTAAACCTAAATGCTGGAAGAACTGAATTTTCAGTTCAAAAAAAGAAGTTGCACAAGTAACTGGGTTCTGTACCCGAAAACGGAAGAGGTTTTAGGTCGGCCTCGAATCCCACCAAGATAGTCAGTGTGCCCCTACACACTGACCATTGGTAACCAAATTAATACTTGCAAATAGAATCCAAAGTAAACCAGCTTTTTATTTTAATTTTAAATTGTGCCTTATTAATATTTCTTTTCCCTTGTATATAACATACAATGTTTTGATATTTTGCATCGAATAAGTAAAATTTTCTGTTCGAAAAAAAGTTCTTAAAGATTTTCCATAAAACTACTGCTTTAACCGGTTGCATCATTTATTTATACCATTTCCTCTTTATTCCTATTTAATATTTTACGATAATGTCATAATTTTTATTAAATTTGTGTATAGAATAATATTAGGCTTCTAATTTTCAGGGAGAGAGAGACCTACTTGAAATAGGTATATGGTAAACCTTCGTAGTTCTAATGTTAAAAGTTATACGCAGAAAAAGTTATATATCAAACAAATGCACCAAGGCTCAGTTATTCAGTACCTGAGCATTAATACCAGAGAACTTAGAATAACTTAGAAGAAGGTAGAAGAAGTTCTTCTAAGTTCTCTATTCATACAGTATCATGTCGTATGAGCAACACAGAATTTATAAGGCCTTTGCATGAATGCTTAGTACATTTGATTCACAACATTAACTGCATACTCGTATAACTTTTGAAATCATGTTTCTATGAAAGATTCACCAAAGCCTTTTTGTAGAGCGGAAAAAACGACATTCTATTGTTTTTACAAAGTTGTAGGTTGACTTGCTTTGGAGTTACAAAGGACAAAAAATGTCATGGGCATTAAAACTGAAACTTCAGGAAGCGTTTAATTTGGAAAATTAGGGACACTCTTTTATACATATAAATACCTATTGCTTAATAGTTTTACTGGGACATTTTGTTCTTCTTGACTCCATCATATTATTTATATAGTTTTGAACTTGCTCGGTTCTGTGTATTTGTTTTAAAGGGACTTTGCCTTTACCTTTATTTAAAACTTAAATTCATGAGACAGGAATCTCTCGTTTCTTTTTGTAAACTTGTTCCAGAGGCAAAACCATTTCAAAGCATGATAACGGCAAAAATTTTAATAGAGAACCACTAATAAATATATATTAATTGTTTTCATATGATGAAAAGGAAAAAGAATAACTCGACGGTTGAACGAATACATACTAATAGGGGCTTCAACCGCTTCACTAATTACACACAAATTTTAAGATTGTAGAAAACTTCAATAATTGGACATTTGAAAAAAAGTATATCGTTTTTGACATTACTTTTCTCACAAAACATTCTTTCGTGCTAAGATGCTTATATCTACCAACTGGGCAAGTATGCGATCTTTATATGAAAGAGTGTGAGTACAAATTCCAATTGCGAATACCTTCTATAAAGTGGGGTGTTTCATCAGCACTGTATAGTATTTCCGATATTAAACTTAAGAGAGCATGAAACCCCAGAAATGAGAACATTTAGTGAGGTTGCAAATTATACCTGTATATTACAAATAATACTATATATGTATTTGGAAACCCCCTAGCAAGAAATCTCCCATGCCCACTGGCTTGCTGATTTTCGAAGCTTAAACTTTCGTTGCGTTTGAAAACCAGAAAAACACGCATAAAATTAAAAGCACATTTAATAGTTATAGAAATAATAAACATGGGACAAATAGATATTAGCACATTTCGAAATCTGTTTTGCTGTCTTTGTACAGTCGGTTCGGTTCTGCGAGTGTTATTCAGAACTCACTATTGCGTGAACACTTAACAAACTTGTCAAACTCGATGCTGTACATACTTTATTGTCCATATTTCATAAAACATGATAAATCAGGATAATAAATTAGCGCTTATTTATTAGCAAGACTAAGGCGTCGTCGGCTGCACATACACATGCGCACCAAGCCAGAAACACTTGTTTTTGCATTTTAGCAATATGCTAATGCTAGAATTTTGCACGTCTGACACGAAGCTTCTTACCTCTCAAGTGTCTGCAACTGATGCTTGCTGGCGCGCACGTATTCCCGAAAGCTTTGCAGCAGATATTCCTCAGTGCGAAGCAAATTTTCTAAGCCGGAAATGGATGAAAAATAATCGATTTGAGCGGTGCAACTGGACAGCAGGCTGGCCACCACGAGCAGGAGGATTGCACCTTTCCATCGCATTTTGGACATTTTATGTTGCTTTAATTTTTAAACTCTTCGCTTAACAATTCAAAATATTCAAATTCTTTTATATATTTTTTCAGAAGAATTTCGAGATTACTTTATACAAGTATATGTATTTCTATATTTTTTTTTACAATAATTTGGAAAAATTGCACTTCACTGTTTCTGCTTTAGCACTCCTCAGCACTTTGGCTGGATTCACCGGAATTTTGAGCAGCTCAATCGAGAAATTTGCAATTTTGCACTTTCTGTTCACAGAGTTTATCTTGTCACTTGGTCGGTTACTCTTTCGCACCAAAAGCTGGGCGTGTACAATAGAAATTCGGGCGCGTTGCAGAGTTTGCTATTTGAGCTGCGCGCTTTGTGTGAACTTGACGGCGTCGCGTTAGAAACACAACTAGTCCATTGTTGGCGAGATTTGCGCAAGGCTTTTGACGCGCTTCCACTGTTGCCGTGAGTATCTCAACATCTTCATTTCATTTGTGTATTTTGCATTTCATTATTTCGTTTTTTTTTTGTTTAATTTTGTATGCTAATTTTTTTGCTAAAAGGCAATCACGTTTGTCTGTCCAGCAGCAGCACTTATGATACAAATTAAATTATTCTGTTATATTCGCGTTGTTTAACCCGCCTGTGAGTCTCACAGCACATAGTCGCTCGCCTACATAATTCAAGAGTATAATTCCAACGGCATATCTTACGCTGCGCCGGGAGACCAAAAGCAGTGCACTAATTAAGCAAGCTTATGATAACTCGCTGGCTGCCGTTTGTATGCACCAAGAGCAGCTAAGAGCAGAATTCGACTAGGTCAATGTCGCAACTCAATACGAGTGCTTTGGTTTGCGGTTCATCAGCGCGGGCTTCCGCGTCGCTTTGTAACAGCTTATTGCTTGAGTTGAATATTATTGTAATTCTATTTTTAAAGGCAAAAGCTGTGTGCATTTTTATACCCGATACAATGCTACTGCACTACATATTTTTTTCTTTATGATCGTATAACTGTTCAAAAACTGAAATACCGCCATTTTGAAGAAAATTTATATTTGAACGGACCACAGTATTCAAAACTTTTCCAAATAATTTGACGATCTTAAAAAAGGGCGAAAGAAAGGACCAATATCTGAAATGCAAATGCAAGGTGACTTAAGCTTTCAGCTTGGTCTCTATAATGCACTCAAGTACTAATGTATGCTGTGAATCTGTTAACTCTGTAGGTGGTTTTTAGCTTCTGCCGACAACTTATGGACATCTCTGTATTTCAACAATGACTACTTTCTTCAAGTCAGTAGTCAGTATCTCTCAAACGCGTGTTGGGTGTTGAAAATTATCTTCGGTCGTTTTTAGGCCCTTCCGATCTGCTTAGTACGTTTGCATGCAGTGAAATTCGTGTGTGCACATACGATCTCAATAATAGTCCGATGTATTTTACATTTCTATTATATATGTATGTATGTATGCGTGTACGTCTGAATATTGATAAGCATGTTTTACAATAGGGCAAATCAAGAATGCGCTGAGATATTTATAATATGAAAATATGAGCTTTTAATTAAATGTCAAATACAATGGGAATGTCAACAAGGCAATCGCAAAAGCAATGGGCAAAGAGGAGCAAGTAGGGAATGGCAATTGAAATTTGCACGCGCACACGTGTTCTTATATGTATGTATGTACGAGTATATACATATGTTCGTAGAGATAGTTATATGTATATGTATATACTATGTACATATGTATGTACACATGTAGACAGAGATTTGAAAAATGCACTAGAATAGAAAATTGCTGATATTTATTATGATGTTTTTTATTAATTTAAATTGTTCGCTGGTTTTGAATAAACTTCTGCTCTACAAAACATTATTTTTGTATTAATTCTCATTTCTATTCTGTTTACCGTCTATACATAGCCCCGTTAAGCCTTCGAAGGCTGGCTGATAAGTAGTATTCCCTATCTTACCCATTTATCCAGTTCTTAGCAGCGCTGCATGATATAAACAGCCTGCAGGTTGACTTAATGTTGAATAATAAGGTAAAAATATATTTTATTCAGATCGTTATCCTCATTCGGATGGATCAGTTTGAATTGCAGCTATGTGCCGTAGTGGTCCGATCTGAAAACTTTGATCGCAGATTGTAGCGCTGCCTTGGGCAAAATTGCAAAATATCGTAAGGTACCTTGTCAAAAAAAAAGTTTTCCATACAAGGACTTGAGTTCGGTTGATCAGTTTGTACGGTAATGATCCGATATCGGCGGTTCCGAAGAAGAAATTGCTGCTCTGGGAGAAAATGACGATGAGTGTCTAAAGTTCGATCGATATCTCAAAAGCTGAGGGACTAGTTCAGGTATATACAGCTAGACGGACATATCTAATAATTTTTATATGTATATACATTTTAGGGTCTCCGACGTTTCCTTCTGGGTGTTACAAACTTCGTATATCCTATTCAAGGCATACAAATTTTAAACAACAATAAAAGATTACATATGATATGCCTCTCTATGGTTTGTAATATGCTTATCATAATATTTATAAATTCATTAAAATCAGTTTAGCGATAAAATAAAGCATTAATTTAATTAATAACACACACACATTTTTCTCCACACACACAAAAAGCGTTTAGTTATTTTAATTTTTCGTTACACTTCTTCCTACGCACATTGGCCTGCGTCACCACCGGAGGGTTAAGGTGTCGGTTCAAGTTTCAGTGAGCGTCAGTCAGTCTAATGGGTATGCAAAAACATTGACTTGGTGATAGTTGATATATCTATTGTTTATTTCGTGTTTGGCGGCTGTTTCTCAGGTTTAAAATAACACACGGTTATCAAGCAGGTGCCGGTTACGATCAGCTGTGTGTTTGTGCGCCATTTTCGAATGATCTTTCAAAAATTCAGATAATATTCGAACACACAAACACCTTTATTAATCTCATATAAAGACAGTAAGTAGAGAGAGGCTGCTCATAGTGACATGAAGGCGATAGATCTGCCATTAAAAGCTGTGTTTTATTAACTTAAAGCATTAATTAAAGTAAAGAGTTTAGAGTGACGGTTATATAGAGTAAGCTAACGGTAATGCGTTGATAACCAAATAAACGCTAGTAAAATGACGGTTTTGAGATCATATGGGGAACATACATACATACATACACATATGTCTTGTCTTTATTCATGTTTGTAGTGATAATGTAGTGCTTAGTTTTTGAACTGAAAATAGATATGCAGATGAGTCGTAAGCGCGTGTGTCCGAGCTTGAATTTTGCACAAACGTGTTTCGTAGACATCATAATTTATGAAAGCTTTTTGCCTAAAAATAATTCTTAATTGTTGAAATATTAAAGACATAAATAGAAACATATATAAGTATGTCAATATGTATATATATTCGAATGAATAAATTCGAAGGTAACCACATTATATAATGCTGCGCTTCTGCTACCATATTTATTATGTCATAATAGTAGAATGCAGTTAGAGGTGAAGCCATAAATAACGGTACAAAAGTTAATTGCAATCTTGATTTTGACATCAACCATATACACAGATAATGGTTGAGGTGCACTGAATTTAGAGCATGACGGCATTATTTTGAAATAAAATGAACTTGTTTGCATTAATGTTTATAATTGAGAGTCGAAATCTAAAAAAACTGGTCACACAAAAACCCCAGTTGTTTTTACTTTATTTCAACTTCGAAAGTGTAAAATTTTTTAAACATATATTCAATTTTATTCTATTATCGATCATTAGGCTGCCAATATGCCGCTTATCGCCGACTTATCTGATAATCTGTACAAAACACTTCCGAAATGTTGAAAAACGGCTGTGTGTTGAGTGGCCATAACTAATAGGTTGTTAAATTTTGCATTATGCCATTTTTATGACGCCAATTAGTGAGCTCAGTTAATGCCACAATGCTTGTCATATAAAATCATACATATTTATGCGCTGAAATAAGAGCAAACAGCAATAAAAGCACAGTGTAAAAATGAAGCAAAAATTCGCCCACGCATAGCGGAAGCGAAGTTCAGATTTTGTTTGAATACATTTCCATTTAACAGCTGCTACCGCACGGCTGCTTTATTTTAACAAAATGTCGTTTCTGTCAACATTTCTCTCCGCTTATAATTAAGAGTAAATGCAATTAATATTTCCACATTCACACTTCGCGCTTCCCAGGTGGCTCAGAATGTCAGGACTTTAAATTTGCTTCAATCACTTAAACATTTGAATGCGGCTTTAATAGCGGTATTTATTGAAAAAAGTAGGATTTTGAATTTTTAGATAAGGAAGCGTTTTAAATATCTTCTAAATGGTTTTGCATTTTGTGTTTTTGATTTAATTAAAATACTTTTAACAAAAGTAATTTCACAAAGATATTAAAAATATATTAAAATTAAATCGGAAATATATATTAGAGACACATATTGATTCTCCGCGAATCGAATTTAAAACGAAAATGAAAACTAATGAGAAACAGGCTCGTTGACGATACGTAACAAATTAATATTTAATAATAAAATTGGAACTTTAAGCTCAATTACTGTTTAAGTGAGAGAAATCACAGATTTTCGGTAAAGTTTCCACCCATTGTATTAAAACATCTTCTAGAAAAGCGCATCATTTGATACTGGTATTGAGTGTTGCAGTACCGTTCAATGATTCATTGAAAAGTCTAACAAGCTGATGGCTTGTGTAGTTAAATTTCTCCAAAGGGTGGTTATTTCAAATATCATAAAAGGGTGGTAGTTCAGTTATTTCAACCGCCAGTGGGTTGCAAACAGCTTTAAAATTACTATAATCCAATCAAACAAGTCAGTTAAATATCTGTATTCACTAGGAAAAATTGGTATTTTATAAGAGGAAATATTTCATCACGTGTCAATAGGCAGATTTCGGCTAGAAATGTACTACTCTAACTTGAGAATGAGTCTTCCAATTTAACGAATTCATTCGTGTCACTATATTATTATATGTACATATATGTGCTCATAATTATAAAAATGATCTAAGTCAAATATTTCATATTTCGAGATATTTAATCGATCGCATTTGAATAAATGAAAAATTGTTTTACATTATGCAACATTTTAATTTATAATTATAATTAAGTCTTGATTAATAGAAATTTATTTTAGCTATACAATTTGTGTGCATTTCATAGGAAAATTTTGTTTTTAGAGCTTGAATTGCCATAAACCATTTTCAAAATTAACTGAATGTCCTACTTGTATAATTGACTTAAGTAATAAAAAATTGTGATTTTTACTTGAAACAATAACTTCAACGAAATAATTCATAGATATTTATCAATCATTTATATAAGCCATTTTTATCATAATTTCGAATTTGGAATTCAGAATCATCTAAAGAGGTCTTATAAAACCTTTTACAAGGTTCATTATTCAAGAATCTCATCCATTGAATTTTTAAATAGACAATAGACAGATTCGCCCGCGGTATTATTTACTTTCCTTGTTATTGATTTTTCAAGTGATTTCGTTGAACATTTGTTTGATCGAAAATGTATATCTTTTGCTACAGTTTTCGAGCAATTCATAGTAATGTTCAGGATTGTGTAAGTAATTTGCTTTTTTATTTTCATCTCTATCAAACTAAAATCACGGTCATTCGGTAGAAAGGATTGACCCGATAACAAAAATTTGTGGTTCCGAAGAGCCCAACAACTAAATTATATTGTTAGATAAACTGGAATGAATTGGCATTTCTGTTATTCGATTGTCATTTATTTTATCGATTTATTATGTAGTTCAGAAACGCGACAAAGAGGGCCACGCGGTCAAGTTATGTTTATGTTATATAATTTTGTTAAATGGTTGACTTAGACCATTTTCATATTGAACACTAAATGAATTCCGTATAACGTTGTAATTACAACTACTATCTAAAGGTTCAATTTTAAAGAAATCGTAAAAATTACATTGACTAAATTTAATTTAAAATCATGTTGTGTGAATAAGTGATAAATTGATTTTTTTTTAAATGTGTACTTGGACAACTTTCATAATGATGGGCACATATGTATGTAATTCAAATTATAGTATAATTCTTAGCCTAAATGTATGCAATCATTGCATTTATATCTGTAAACTAATGCAAATAGTGATTTTAGTATTCAATAAGACAGATAAAAAATCAGTTTTGCTATATTGAAAGAAGTAATATAAAAATCTCACGCAATAAAATTGATGCACGCTTAAGTATAAATGATTTTACACACACATTTTAAGTTAGTTTGTAAACCTGCAGCAATAATGAAAAAACGCTGTTCCAAACGCTCCCTTTTTGGTTATGCAGTGACGTTTCATGGACCTCGAACGGACTTTTGGCTCTCCAAATGCCGTAAATTTCGGTACCTAGTATGTGATGTATGTAGATTTAGCACCCTCTACAAATATCTGATGGCGGTCACATGCTCATTATGTTAAGATTGCTCCTATGCAAATGTAAAGCTAATGGCAGTTTCCGAGACCCAAAGGTTCAAAACTTTAAAAGAAGTGATTAAGTGAATTCGGCTCAGTCACATATTCGAACCGATTGTAGTGTTGGAATATTAAAAAACTAATTATATAATTTCGAAAATTTTAATAACAAACTATTCTATAATCTACGTATGTCTATTTATAAAGCTCACATAATATAATTTTGAACTTATTCGAATTAACCAAAATGGCTGTTATCATGGAGGTCACAAAGTCTGACTGTATTAGGGATACAGTTATTTTATATACTTGTATTAGTGTTCAGCCGAATAACTAATTCGAATCATTCGAGTATCCTTACGGGCTCGTCGTTGCATTTCTTTCTCTCGATGACATTCTGATATGCAAATTTAGGTAGAAGAGGATCAATGCGAAATTAATACATTTTGCTGTGGGGCACCAAAGAACACAAGCACATACGGAGGTATATCTCAGGCTCGGATGCTGGTGTACGCCGCTGAAAAGCAAATAGACAAACACAATCTTACATACAAAGTTTATATGCGGCGAGATTTGGAAATCACTTACTGAGTTGTGTGCCGACAATCACCGGACAGACATGCTGCTTGCTTCGATAATCGTATTCATGGTACTCGTTCAGTTGCGTCCAGTAAAGCAAAGCATTCGTTGGCAGCGTTATGCCCAATTCTAACTGTGGGAAGACAATAGCGCCCCCCAACTTGGCTGTTTGCAGCTGCAAATGAGAATTGTAGAGTATAATCGATTTAACCACATTTGATTCTCCCTCATCCATATTTCACTCACATTGAAGAAAACATTCGCGATGACTTTAGCTGTCGCTGGCAGCAGCGCCTCTATGTGCACGTCAGCTTCGAATGTCCAACGCCCCACTTCCCAAGCGCCCCAGTTTTTGTCCGCATGCCCTGTAGCCAATTGTAGGCGCTCCGTGATGCTCTTGCGCTTTAGAAGCTTTGCTACAGCTGCTTCATCGCCGTCATTCGCATCGGCGATAATCTGTTGCAAGTCGCTGATTTCACCAGCGCTCAACATGTTATGATATACGGCGATATAGGGATCCAAGCTTAGCAGCTCCACTTGGCGTGGTTGCAGCAGAAGCTCAGGCAGATTACCATGAATCAGGCGACAATCTGGTGTGCTGCTTCTAAATGCGCCACTGCTGCTGGCGGCGTCGATGTTTGTTGTCGCACGACAAATCTCTCCAATCAGCAATTCCTCAACAGATTTCCCACTTTGCTACAATTGTGAAAGGAAAATATGTTCAACTTTTATGTATACTCCTTGCAAGAGATTTATTTGGAAGTAGTATTATTGCATGGAAAGTGGGAATAGAAGCGCTATTAGTACTTTTAAGTGGAAGAAACTGTTTTTTTATTTTTAGTTACACTCCTTTGCTGAATGTAAGTATGAATGCTGGTTTTGAGTTCATGAAAAAAGTGGGGTTAAGAAAGTATTGTTTCCTCAATCGACATTAGAGAAAAATTTACATTGATTTGGGTAAATTTTTATTGTGGGGTCGGTGGTTTTAGCTGAGTTTCTTTCTCCGAAAAACTCCTCACCCGGAAATTTATCGAAATTCGGTATATGAAATTCTCGTATTCACTTACAGTTTTATTTATGTTGCGCTGTTTTGAAACTTTTTTGAATTTTTTCGTTGATTGTCTTAATTTTTTTTCCACTCGTGCCTTGGCTTTAAGCAAGTTTTTATGTCTTGGATGTTTTTTCAAAAGTGTGTTGATGATATTGAGTGCGACAGCTAAGTTACCTAAATTGAATGAAAGATGTATTAAACACTTATTTGCATAATTTATAATTAAATATCAAAATCTAACTCATCAAATGAGTATTAATATGCTGCGGACCCACAGAAAAATACATGTGGACACATGTACGGGTATATTGAATATTTGCCTTCACACACATAAGGTGGAAGTCTAATTTTAATTCAAAAAAACATAGAAAATCACTGAGACGTTCATCTATTGCTTCACATACTTTCAACTTGTACTCACCCATATTGAACTCCGTTATAGCCAGTGCTTCCATAATCTCCAAGCGCGCATTCTTCACCTCCGCACTACCCCTTTCGGCTGAGGCCATCTCTTCTGTGGCATTTGCCGCCGCCATTTGCGCGCCAGCTACAGTAGGTAACTTCTCCAGTGCCACTTCCATCCAAAATTTCGCAATAATAAAATCGCCATTTTGCACTGATTTACGACCGATTTCCAGACAGTCGTTCCAAGACATGGCTGAGCTGCGAAGTAGAAGTAATGGCCTACAAATACTTGTCTACTACAATGATATCAGCAATCAGATTCAAAAAATGTCGAAAGCACATTGCTTTAAGATGCCTTTTTATTGGTGGTGTGTGTTAGGTGCAACAACGATTTATTGGTGCGACTTACCCCAGCTTTATACCGTTCACTTCCCCCACAGCCAAACGCTCTGGCTCGAGTTGGTAGACGCCCTGTATTCGCAGCAGATTAAGGGCTGCCTCATCGAAATCACTTTCGCTTGGGAATTTCAACGACTTCCTGGTAATCGTCAGATTTTCAACGATTTCTGTTGGTATGAATCGTAGGACAACAACGACATTTTTAGAATATTTCAAGTAGCTGTATGTATGTGTGAGTTACGCATACTGCGAGAGATACTCGCAGAGACTGCGTTGACGGTGACAATGCTGGAGGAATTTTCGTCCCGCATTAACATTGATTGACAATCGAAGTTCGTTCGAATTGTTGACATGTCGGAATGCCAAACTGGTAATACAAGTGAAAGGACTCACCTGTTGTGCTGTCAATATTGTAAGCATATTGCCGTAGCATCTGCCAGTCGGATGTGAAGCGCTTCAGAATGGTCAACGCATTCAGGGGATTACTTACATATTTGTGCATGTCAGCGGCGGCAACATCATTGATGGCTTTGATTTCAACGGTTTTGCTAAGCGGAAATGTAAAATATGAGAATAAATTTGAATATAAGAAAAATAATGTAGGAAAATATCTTTGTGCATGGAAATAAATGGGAACTTCTATTTGCTTGTCATAAAAATTGAACTTCGAACGTTGATAGCCAAAGCATATTTCATAAAATCACTATAATCATACTCTGGATGCTAATAATAATAATTAGTAAAAAGTGTTCATTGAGTTTTCAATAATTTTTATAGTTTTATTTTAAGATTTATCTCATTCAATGTCCCGATTTCGAAACTCACCTCTTTATAACGCCGACTTTCTGCTGCAGTGCTTCGATATACCGCCGGAGTGTGTCCGTTAATATCGCTTGTGTATTCAAATACTCAACCATCTGATATTGATCGCCCATCGTAGTTGTAGCGGTTTGTGCCGCTGCTGAACCGAAAGCGCAGATCAATAAACTTGTTAGCATAAATAGCAAAAAGTGTACCGGTAAAGCGGTTGGACTAACTGCTGATTTCTGTGTTGGTGTGTTTGCGTATATACTAAAGGTCAATGACATCGCTGCACAACTGCCGGCTTTTAAAAGTTGTAACAAAGTGGTAAAGGCGGCCCAAGGTCAGATGGCACGTAATCTTAATTAGTCAGTATGAAACTCTAGTTGGTTACTTAAGAAATAAGCTCGGCAAATTTGGTATAAAAACGAGTCTTGGTTTACTTTGCCTTCCTCGTATACACTTTTCTGATGATGATCGTTTGAAAGATTCTCACAAACTGAGCTGTAAACGCTTAAGAATGCTAGTTTAACTAAGATCCGTTGCAGGCTGAAAAGCTCATGGCAGGTAATAATCGGTGGTGGTTTTGTATTTTCGTTTAACACGGTTCTCTTCAGGGCAACATAATTGTTTATTAATGATGCAGACGATTGAAGCGATGTTAAACGGCGCAGAAGCCTTAGCCAGCTGGTATATTCTTTAGTCACGCGTGATGCTTACACCTTCGCATGTTTAAACGACCTCCTCTGCTACAAACGGAGACTGCAGAATGAACTTACTCGATTGTTATTTCTCATTCGTTAACAGTTTGATGATTATAATAAATAATTTTTTTTTGTTTTGAATAAGTAATTTGTGGAGAGATTTTCACTATTTAAAAATTTGTTGTGTCATTCAAACACCAGGTTCCACCTTTATCCTATCAATATAGATATGTTTGAATTAGCACAACTTAAATTATAATGAAATAAGAAAGCCGCTGTTGTTTTCATGATCTTGCTAAAATTTCATATTTTTGTGTGCCAAATTTATATGTCTGAAATTTAAAAATCGTTTTTTTTTCATTTACAAGCTTTTACATTTACATTTGAAGTCTTTCTTAATATTCGTATTTATTTATTTCATTATCATTACTTCACTCATTTGAATTTCTTCCGGTTGAAAACATTCATTTGTCAGCTAGTGTGCTGTAGTGCTGCGTGTACTTTTCGATATGCTTGTAGACAACAATATTTCGTTTCACCTGTCCTGTGCCGGTGTCAGTAAAATAAATTTCCGAATGCTGTTCGACTCATTTAATTTTACATTACTCATTTTGTTTACGTGGTTAAGAGAAGATAAATCTTAGTTTTTATAATTTTTTCGATCTTGTTAATCATTTAAATACTTTAAATCAACTCTGGAGCTGCGGCGTCCATACACACATGTAAAAAATATGAGAGTATTGATATGTGTGTGTTTTTATTATATAACAAAAAAGGAGGCATTCTTTAGGTGACTAAAGATTGGATGCCGGTAATTGAAAAAAGCTGTCAAATGCATTGGGTTCATAAATGCAATGAGCCGGAAAGAGAGCGTACACACAATCATATAATATATGTATGTATTTATATACAATGCAACTGCGTAAATATTTTATAGAATACCTGCATTTATTTATAATGCGACATACATATGTCGATGTTTGTGGATCTGTTTATTTTTTTAACTACAAATCAAGCATCAAAAACGAAAAAAAAACCTGAGTAAGAACAAAATTAGTAAAATTATTTTTTCTTTAATTTTACACAGATACACACATATGTACATACAATATTTTGTTACAAAATTTTTACTGTAGTTTAATGAAATCACTTTAATTTTTTAATGCTCTGCTTTCGTTTCGTACAAATCTTTCCATTGTATTGATTTATAACCATCCTGCTCTTTACCGCAAGGCCGAAGGAATTCCTGTCCAGTTACGTGGAACCACTCGTTGCAGACTGGGAAATGAAGAAATATAATATTATTAGATGCCCTTAATGTTTATTAATTTTTAAAACTGGAAGCACTATGGAAGTGTTGTTTTTAGCACACCGCTTTAGCCGTTTTGATGAAGCAAATTTTTTCGAAGATACTATAAAATCATTGTCGATAATTATGAAAGAAATTAAATCATAAATATTGTTGTTGTGGCACAAGGAACCAATGCGAGTATAAAAACTAAATGAACTCAGTTCAAAGGATAATGTGACGCGCTCTCTTCCTACCACACATCGCTAGTTAATGCATATTTATAACTCTCCGAAAATATTTATAATCGCTAAATTGAACATATTTAAAAAAATCCTATTCATTTCATTTACTTTCCCAATTTTCTGCTTTCTAAACTTATGAAATTTGACTCCCTGGACCATGTTAATTTAAAATTAATATGCTTCTTGTCTTAACAAAAAGAAAATAATTGATTAGGACTTACTCCACTTTGAGCCCATCAACACCGGACAACCGCCATGTTTTGTGCGATAATCCAGTTCTAGCGAGTTGTGTAAATTGTACCAAACGATCATGCTGCCCTTAATGGGGGGCACAGACAAGTGCAGATAGGGAAAAGCGGTAGCACCACCAAGTTCCACATCGTTAATCTATATAGTATAAAGAAAAAAACAGAGTAACAAAATGTTTTAGGAGACAACAAATACAATCATACATATTTAATATAATAATAATTCTTCGAACGACAAAACTTACATAAAATAATGCGGTTGCTATGCGATTTCCTTGACCATTATACTCATCTTTTTCGAACATCTAAGAAGACAATTGTTCAGCATGAAGAACATATGAATGGTAATAAATATTGTTATAATCACCTCCGAGAAGTCATAATGAGCGCCGTAATGACCTCCTAAGCCATAATTGGCTACTTGTAAATGCTCACCGGATTCCAAAGACAGACCCGTTACATCCCTTAGCCGTTGTGCGATGTTATTCAAAAATGGGTAAGCCGCAAAATCGAGCCAAGTATTTTGACTTGTACGTACGTCCGAGTAACCTGAGTGATTTAAATCGCCGACCGTAGATCTCTCCACATAATTTTCGGATGCATCGAATATTTGTTCAATTTCTTTCTCATATATGCTGTCATGATAGTATGCAATAGATGGATCGAGGTTCAGCTCTTCCTTCTTGAAGGGCGCTATAAAACGGAAGGGCACATTGTTATGCACATAACGGCAGCGTAGACGACGTTTTTCGCGCGGTGTTTGCTGCAGTTCACCATTGCATGTCTGGTCGAAGATTTCGTCGAGTTCGCTGCGCTGTGAGTGAGAGTTAATTGTGACAAAAAATACAATGCCAAGGGAAAAGTATATAGATATAGGTATATATGGTATATACCTGCATAAATTTTTTAGATTCATCCTCATTTGAAATGTCATATCGCTCCGCAACTGCCTTATTAGAGTAGTTCAACCTATTGCTCAAACCATGTGCATTGTTGGGATCTTGGGCCAAAAGTTCATCAATGAAAAGCAAAGCCAGCTTGCTCTTACCTGAAAATGTTTAAAAACAAAGCGCCAGAATTTTACTAAAATAAAATTTTCACTGTTGCATAACAATTCACCTAAATAAAACATGGTAATCGATAACTGCTCCAGGATCTGCACGTCGGTGATTTGCCCTATAAACTCTTCATTAGACTCTTTCCTTTCCTCGGCCAAACGGATGCGCGCCTGTATAAGCCACTCGGCTGCATACTTAAGATCTCCTGCTATATACAAATTTCGGCCTAACCAAAAGCACTCGCTCGCGGTAAAATTGGAAGAAAAGTTCATTTCCATTAGGTCGCCACCAGCCACATCAATGGTTTCTTGTTGATAGGTGCGCTGTAAACGCGCTAACCCTTTGCTGGCGCCTAACAAATCTTCACTGGTGGGGAGCTCAAAACCGTCCTTCTTTTCCAATTCGGTGATATTAGCAATATATTCTATTCTCAAGGGATACACAACTTATTTCTAATTTTTGCGTTTGGTAAAGCATTGTCTCACCTCGTGCGGGTTGCTCTGCGAACACAGTCTTGTTTAAGTTCTGCCAATCGATCACAAAGCGCCTAATAATCTTATACGCATTCAGTGGATTAGAATAGTGTTCATAGAAGTCGTCTTCGGCCTCTTGAGAAACCTGCTCCAAATCGTTTAGTGTTCTATGAGAATATTGAACGCACTTTACACAAACCATTGCCACGTTTTTGTGTTTGCACTATTTGCAACTTACTCATTAACTTGCCGACTAATTGCCTCCGTTTTCTCCATATATGTTTCCAGATATGTAATCGCCTTCCTTTCTAACTCCAGTAAATCACTTAAACTTATAACAGATGTATAGTAATCCGCTTTCACATTTCGACTAAAAAAAGTCAGCACCGCTAAAATTATGAACTGTTGGGGCTTCATTATCGGAGAGCAATCCTCAGCTGTTGCCTCGTTGGCTTTACAATTACAACTGAAATTAAATTCAACCAACTTACTGCATGTCACTGAAAGTAGTTCAATATACGGAAAGTCACTGTTTACACAAGTGTTGAAAAAATGCCGGCCCAGCGAGTTCTGAAGAGTAATGTATATTTTTAAGCGTGTATATGAAAAACAAGAAAACGCTCCGCATTTCTTAATTTCGACTTCATTTATTAGTATCTATAAATGACTCGATGCAGTGCAAGAAAATTTCAACTTGTAAAAAAAAATTGAAGATATCAGGTCGTTAACTCGGAACTGCTATTTTTGAAGCAAAAGCCTTTGTTCTGCGCCATCTAAACAAACTATAACTATAACAATAGCTGAGTAGCGAGTATTGATCTCTTAACTCATTGCTGAATCAATATTTTTCTGCCGTTTTAGTTTAGTTTAGTTTAAGATATAGCCACCGAAAAATGAGTCAGCCGACAATACGAATTGATTTAAAGAAAGTGCAGGCGAAATAAGAGTCAGTATTTATGGTAGATATAGCTACTTTTTTGGTGCTTGTTTTCAGACCACTGCTGTGGTTTAATGGTGTTACGTGAAACTATGTGTAGTGCAATGACCGAATGAATCTATTTTGGATGAATCTCCAAGGACTTATGATTGTCACCGCAAGGACCTTGTTTTGGAACTGGGTCAACACAGACGGCTATAACTTTGGAAATTAAAATTTTTTTTTTGAAATTTTCGTGACTTCAAGTTAAAACATATTACTACTTTTGTAAAATAACATGATTTATTAGCAAAAAAAATTTCTGAAAATTCTTGACTGAATTGTTTTAAACTAGCAAACCAGCTGTACCAGCGGTACAAAATTACAAACTGCCAGTTTAAAACTTGTAATGAAAACTAACAAGATGGGCCCATGCCCTTGTAGATAGTGAGAAGATAAATTTATTGCTACTATGCTCGTGTGAAAGCTACATACATATATCTTTGTATTCATCAAGAAAATTTGAACGTTCCTACTCAAAAGATAACAATTGCATTTATTTAGTTCAAATTCTGCATAAAACACTGAATTATTTCAGCGTAAAAAGACGCTGAAACTCATAGATCGAAATCTGGATTTGAAGTGGTTAATTAAAAGAAACGATTTGCTTCTTATTTCTTATCAGAAATATATACACACATATTCCATACACCCATCTAACGCTATAAGTATATAGAAGAGAAAAAATAGTCAGGCCCATAACATGCATACGTCGCTTATGTAGCAGTTCTTCATTCAAGTTATACCATCGGAGGCTAATCAATGTGCATTTTTGCACGCACCGGTACTACTTCGCGCTGTTTGAACAAGCGGAACAATAACAAAAAGAAAATAACATAATGATATTGAAGAGCAACACAACGCAGCTGATAAACGCGCTTTTATCAACACATAACCTCACTTCTACCTGAGACCGCGGCATTGATAAAAAGACGAGGCAACAATTTTGATGTTACAACCATAATATCATATCAGCAAACAATGTTTGCTAGACAAACGCGATTCAAAACCGTATGCTAGCAACGTGCAAGCATCCACTTGGCACGTTGCTGAACCGTCAATGTGATCTTCTTCAACTTTAATTATTTTGATTTATCTGAGCAACATTTTGATGATAAACAAACAGAAAAAGGGCACATTCACGACATAGATAGAAGAGCGAAGCTAGTTCAGCTATCTAGAATTGATATGAACGGCAAAAATATGGTTAATTATCACTTTGTGTAAGAGTCTAAGTACTATTTAACCCATATTCAAAGACTTTGACCAACTAACGTTTTCATTTAGTTGCCAACAATCGGGCGAACCGCACCGGAAATATGTTCGTTTTCGGTTTATTGCTTCTGCTCCTCGGCGCCGACTTTGGCGCATCACAAAACGCTCAAAGCTTCGACAGTCTCACGACGTCCATTGCCGGTCTGGAACAATTGATCGAGACGGAAGCATATTTGATACAAAATTTGGAAAACTACGCGAAAGCACTGGAAGAAAAGTTACTTGTCATTCGCAGGTGAAGTGTTGTTGTGACTTGCGTTGCTGCAAATATTTTTATTTTGAGTTATCACTCCAACGTTTTACAAAATAGCGTCATCATGTAAAGGTTCAATAGCTATTTACAAATTTATATATTAAGAAAGTACATTAAATTATACGACGTCATACGGAAGTAAAACCCTATAACCCCCTACAAAAATATTTATTACAAACTCCAAGCTCTCTATTAGCAAATATCTTGAACGATTCATATATCCTAAAACTTTTTCTTCGGTTGCACCGAAGCCATAGTACCTTTCACAAATAAATTTTTGCATGCAAGAACTCCATCAGTCGTTTGAAGAATTTGTTTGGAGTCCTGGCGTTGCCGTGGATAATAATAATCTATGCCAAATTTCGTGAATATATCTTTCAACAAAAAAGAGTTATCTATAAAAGAACTTGGTTGTAATGGAACAGTTTGTGTAATAGCTATATCCTATTATGGTTCGATATAAGCAGCTTCTTGCAGAGAAAAGATTTTAGATATATATCGCAACCATTTTGCTGATGTAAATTTAGTTTTTGTCTATATTTAAGTGATTTGTTTTTGGAAAAAATTTTCTAAGATATCATATGAAATCAAAACCACAAATTGTGTCAATACAACCATATCCATGTATAGATATTTTTGTTGTTAATTAAACATACGTATTTCTATACTTTTCCTAAAGCCTCATTACTAACCTTCGCGCAGAAAATGACAAGGCACAGAAGAATCCTGGCTACTACATATCAATTCCTACAAATGTATTCTCTTTGGTACGCCGGTTGCAGAAGGACTGGACTTATTTGGACATCTATATGAAACAAAGCGTTGGTCAAGGTAATTTATTCCTAAATTCTTGCAATTTAAAGCATTACAATAATAACAATATATTTTTTGTTTTTCTGAAGAGCAAATTAAAGCTCTACACGAGTATTGGTACCATTTGCCTAAGGAAAACGATTGGGGCGAGGCGGTAAACGGAATCAGCCGACTACAAGACACATACGATCTTAAAACAGAAGACCTCACAAATGGTATAATTAATGGCAAAACGTACGAGTGAGTATCAACACAAAAGGGCCATTCGATAAGCAACGGTAAATTATCGAGTGTACATACATATTTCTGAACAAGCGACCTAAGAGTACTTATAAAGAACAGTGTAAATTTTATATTGCCGAGGTTTTATCGCATAAAAATTGGAAATTTAAATAAAAAATCTCTTTGTAGCACAAAATTGTCGGCACTCGATTGCTACGCATTGGGTTTCGAGCTGTTCAGTAGGAGCGATTATTTAGGCGCTGGATTATGGCTTTATTCCGCAATCAGTTTGTACGAAGAAGATGCGTTGTTAAGATTGCATGACTTGAGCAGAGAAAAAATTATGGAGCTGTATGCCGAAACTCTTCTGAAACAATGTACATACAAAAATACATATAAAAACTATTTACCATATATATTTATACAATATGTGTACTAAAGCCGTAGGATAGATTAATTGGCACACCTCCTCACTTTTAGATCGCTATCAGGATGCTCTGACAATGTTTAATGTGATATTGAGTATACCTTCGTCGAAGCCGAACTCGGAGCTACAGCGCCGGAAAAATGACGTGGAATTGCACATTAAAACCTATAATCCACAACCAATACCGGTAAGTTTTTCCAATTCGGAATTAAAACAATAACACAGTGCGATGCACATTCATCCCCAGTACACGAAAAGCCCGCCAAGCAATTACCAACTTGGCTGTCGTGGCGCATTTTCAAATGAACTATCGAAGCTCTATTGCGTCTACAATACGACCACCACAGCTTTCATTAAATTGGCTCCCTTGAAAATGGAAATCCTAAGCCTTGATCCGTACTTGGTTATTTACCACGACGTTATGAGCGACGAGGAAATCGCAACGCTTCAGCGTATGGCCCAACCGGTTTTGAGGCGTGCCACCGTGTATAGTGAAGAACGCAAATTGAGCGAGGTTGTTGCCGGGCGCACCTCAAAATTTGCTTGGTTCTATGATGGTACAAATGAGGTAACAACTCGCGTTAATAAACGAATTGAAGATATGACTGGATTTGAACTTAACGGCTCGGAAATGTTGCAAGTGATGAATTATGGACTTGGTGGACACTATGCTACGCATTTCGATTTCTTCAATGTCTCCATGGTAAGCAATTGGAGCGCGTTTAGTTGACGCTGCACTGTGGCTCAGCATGTGGACATTGAATAATAAATCTAAATCAATGCTTTTGTTTTAGACGACTGATATTGTGGCGATGCATGGTGACCGTAAGGCAACGGTACTCTTTTACGTAAGCAAGTTATTAGTTTTCTTAAATATTATAGAATATACCTATGTGTATATTATACAAAATTTGTGTGCTAAATTAGATGAGTGATGTGGACCAAGGCGGCGCTACCGTGTTTCCAAATATAAAAACTGCGGTCTTTCCCAAAAAGGGCACGGCTATCGTGTGGTATAACCTCAATAATCGGTTCGAGGCTGATTATAAAACTCTGCATGCCGGTTGTCCAGTTATAGTTGGCTCTAAGTGGGGTACGTTTTTGAATACAAAGACATATACATATAATATGAATGTTTATAAATATTCGAATGACTTTCTACTGATTTATTGCAGTGACCAACAAATGGATACGTGAGCGAAACCAAATGTTCCGATTGCCCTGCTATAAAGAATAGTTTAATTAAAAATACTTGTAGTATACATGTTTAGACTCGAAAAATTATTTTTTTTTTTTAAAACTCAGTTGTATAAATAAATACGAATAAAATCGAAGTGGCAAAGTCTTAATATTATAGTAAGGTCCTTCAGTAGTAAGTTCGGTTGGTAGTAAATTCCGCTACCTTTGTTATTGTCGCCTAATCTCTACAGATGAAACTTTTTTCTCGTTTGTTTTGTCGGTCAAAAAAGCCAGAGTTATTAGTTTATAGAAAATATTAAAATTCATACAGAGCCTAAAGATAAATTATACATTCACCTATTTACATATTTACAGTTTATATATGGTAGTATGTAAACATTTATGTGTGAGAATTTGTCTACTGGCTTCTAAACAACAACTTATTATGTGTGTTGTTGTGATCAGCCGGCTCATTGACCCGAAAGCTCTGCAGCTCACCAGCAGTACGCTTTGGTAACAAATATGCAAATTAGAAACCTGTTAGCTAATTGCTTTACATATGAGCCACCGACCCACGAGCAAACTTGCTTAGAGCCTTTCTTTAACCTTTTCACTCTATGTAAAGCCCACAGTGATTGCCTTTGGTTACGTGACTTTCAGTTGGATTTTCGAATTTCGCTAGAACGGTTAGCGGTTCATTGAAGTTGCGCGCGGGGCGAGTGGTTTATCATTAATATTTGTATTTGCTGCGTAATTGTGATACTCGGTTTCTGCGCCGTGAATATGCAGTTATTTTTCCTGCTAACCTGCGTGGTTATGCTGCTCCATTCTGGAACTGTGTTTGCGTCCAAAATGGAGTTCTTCTCTTCGGTGCATCAAATGTCAAAATTAGTGCAATTTGAAGGTGTTCTCTTAAAGCATATGCAAAAATATGTAGAGATTAATGAAAATAAATTGGATTTTCTCAAGGCGTAAGTTTTTCAGGAGAAGACTTTAGCGTTTGAAGTTAGCGGAGATATTCTGAAAGTTGCGTTAGGCGAATGAATATTCTCTCTACTGCTACGGTTACCGTTTTAAGTTTTTGAAGTACAGTCGCATTTTAATTTTAATAATAAAAAACTAAAAATTGCAAAAAACATAATATTTCGTAAAGAAAAAAACAAAATTATAAATTTGAGATTTCAGGTTTCCAGTCTTGTGTAGTGAGGAAGATCATAATTTAGATACAATTTTTCTGTTATTGTCCGACGAAAGCACCGAGTTTGAAAAATGTATACTATTCTAGATTTTAATTCGACTTGAAATTATTTACAGCGTCTGCACAATCAAATCAGTTCAGGTCATTCGTGAATGTTTACAGAATAGATAGCTAGACGGCGTGGTAACGGATATGTACGGCAATTTTTGGCAGTAATTAGTCGTAAAGTTATACATACTTGTTCTTACTAGATCCATTCACTTTACTTCAATAAAATTATCGTGAAACATAGTACAAACATAAATTGAAAAGAAAGTTAGATAAAAAGAACAAGAGACACATTTCGACCAAATAATAATATTTTAGTTTTTATATGTGTAAACTGTTTAAGTATGTATGAATGCAATGCTACCAACATTGTTTCTAATCATAACACACGTTTTTGCAGTCGTTTGGCCGAATTGGAAAGTGATCGTTATGAAGCGCTACTGGAAGGCTTGGACTATTTTGACAGTCCGGTAAACAAATATTTATTGACAAAACATTTAACTTTGGACTGGGAGCGTGTTGAAAATATTATGCAACATGATTCGGGAAAAAGTAATGTAAATCATATATACTGTATTATTCATAATTTGCATTTAGCATCTTATTATTTAGCTGGTTGTGGTCTTTCTCATGTGTCCCAAATATGAAATAAGACTCTTGTTTTCTTATATTGATTAACTCAAACCCGAACAAGTTAACATTAGATGACAAATTCCTTTGAAATAATATAAATTTGTTTAAATTGATTGATAGATAACATTACGATAATTTCTGATACTTAACAGAAGCGCTCAGTAAAATAGAACATTACGTTAACGTCCATCCATTCCCCGAAGTTTCCGATTTAGAAGGAGCTATTGCCGGCTTTTTGCGCATACAAGATGTCTACCGGTTGAAAACGTCTGATATGGCTCAAGGTATTCTAGAGGGTGTGAAATACAAGTGAGTAGATAATAGTGCAAGTTAACTACCCCAGTCGTAATAACTTATTGTATAATAGCGGGGTAATAGATGCACGACTCTGTTGGGATATTGCGAAATATGCTGAAAAGGAAAATCAAATGCGACTAGCACATGCTTGGGCCTTGGAAGCACTACAACGTTTGCACAAAGCCGAAGAGAACACCGGCGAACTGCAGTACGTGTCGGAGAAAACCGATGAAGCCGAAGTTTTGGAATTATTGGCGAAGACTAAAAGGCACTTGGGTGATTTGAAGGGCGCAAACCAAACCTATGCTGAGCTTGTAGCATTGCGACCGGATGTCGAGAACTATACGAAGAGCTACTTAGATTTCCAGTTAGAAAACATGTTGGGGGAATATTCGACTGTTGATCTCACCGACGAGCACGAGGTGCGTAAAATGTCTTTAAATCTGTGTAGTTCTTTCATTTTCCCCTATTGTGAAGCTAATGTTTAAACGCTAACACAGCCCCTGCCAGCGCACCTGCACAGCACCGATGAGTTCACGCGCTACAAACACACCTGCAATGGTTTGCTTAAGCAAACTCCAAGCGAGGAGCGTGAATTGCGTTGCGGCTATCTCACCGAAACCCATCCATTTCTACTGATCGCACCCATTAAAGCCGAAGAGTTAAATCATGATCCGTTTCTTGTGGTTTATTACGATGTTGTGTCGGATGCTGAAATCGAGAAAATGAAGACTTTATCCAATAACCATATAGTGCGAGCAAAAGTGATGGGTTACAACGAGAGCCTAATCTCGCCGGTTCGCACAAGTCAATTTGTCTTCCTGCCAAAGCAGTCACACAAACTACTGCAAGCGATTGATATGCGCGCTGCGCATATGTCTGATTTGAATATGGATTTTGCAGAAGATCACCAATTTCAGAATTATGGCATAGGCGGACACTACGGACAACATTACGACGCGTTTGAATTGAAGGCGGTGAGGAAAATCTTTGCTGTTTCGCAAATGTTTTTAGTAAAAAATAACTTTTTCTGTTGCCATATTTTCTTTTAGGAGAGCTTCATAAGTAATCCTGAAATGGGTAATCGGATTGCAACTCTGCTTTTTTATGTGAGTAAATGCGCCTCACTTTGCTACTTAAATCACAGAGATGAATGTGTATATATTTATATTCAAGTTAACGGATGTTGAGCAGGGCGGTGGCACTGCCTTCCCCTACCTCAAGCGTCTGTTGATGCCCAGGAAGGGCGCTGCGGCGTTTTGGTACAATATGCATGCCGACGGTGTAAGGGACCCACGCACTCTTCACGGCGGCTGTCCGATTATTGTGGGCTCAAAGTGGGGTAAGTTGCAAGCGTTTATATTCGGGGGTACCATTTTGAGAAAAATAATGTGTTTCTCTGCGCCTTTCAAGTGCTCAATCGTTGGATACGCGAATATGTGCAGAGCGACAGACGACCTTGCGAGTTGTGGCCTGACAGCGGCCTTTGAAGGCTTTTCATGGCATTGATATATTTTAATGTTTAAGTATTATATTTATGTAAAGTCGATTTCGTTAACTCAATTCGGATGAGGCTGTTTATTTTAGTGGTGAAAAATAAAATATTTTCTTCAAAATACTTACACGATCTGCAAAATCCAATACCGAAAAGTTAAAGTAAGCAAAGCCGTAAATTAGTTTTAAGTGTTTCTTTTAATTATTGTGTGTATTTTCTGCAGAATGTTCAGCAATAAAGTTAGTTCATTTCACTATTCATTAAGACCTTGTGGCAATTCCACTAAACATTTTATTTATTTGCCTGTTTTATTTCTTATTAATTTTTGTAAACAGCTAAGAAAATCGTTTTATTTGCTAAAAATAACGTTCATACCTTGTTCTCTAATTTTTTTGTCACTGCGATGCTGCACCTTATCGTTTATCATTATTAATTATGTGGACTTGTGAGTTTTAACTATTCTTTCACAGGCCGAAGTATTCAAACAACACAAATGTCAACATTTATACATAAATATGTATTTCTTATGTTATATTAGTAAGATTTTTTACTATATATATATATTTAAAATACAAGTGGTTAATGGAAATTTGAATTTCTAATATTCTTAATATGCTGTATTTGTCATAAGTGCTTCAATTACGGCGCAACTTTGCGCTTCAAAATATCAAAAAAGAAGAAATATTATTTTTTTTATATTTTTTTGCTTTTCTTTGGTAGGTGGTTCATTTTACGTGGATTATCATAAGTAAACACTAAGTTGTTTTGCGCTAGATTTACTAGATCTGCTTTTCGAGTCTCAACTTTCGACAGTTTTGTCTGCATAACTATTTTGCGATTTGTAATTGAACTTTTTTCAATTCTTAGTTTTTGAAAATTGTATGTGTACTTTTTTTTAAATATGTAAGTGAGTAGGTTTTGATTTGTTTGCATTTTGACATTTGACATTGTGCGCAACATCAATACAGTTAGGCAACGGAAGTAAACAGCTTTTGCGTTTTCTTTTGTAATGTTTTTTTTGCTTTTTTGCGGTTCTCTAGTTTCTTAAATTTAATTTTTTTTGTAAATCTTTTCTTATTATTTTGCTTTAAATTCGCTTCAGATTTGATTTTAGTTTTACGCAATTTTTGAAATATTTTTTTTTTTGCATGTCTCAGCTGGTTTTTTGTCTTCGTGCAATGTGTAAGAGTGTTGGACAAGCTGCTTGCTATTTTTTTGGTGTATATAAATATTAGCATTCGCTTTTGCTTTGCTCACATTGACAGTTAGTAAAGTTCTCAAAAACGGGGATTGTCATGGGGGGCACACATGTAACATCAATAGATATTTACTTCAACACAGTTCTTAGCTTAGTTAATATAAGTTTATAAATATGTGTTTTGTTCAACATCGTAAATTTATTCTGCTCCATAAATAAATACATTTAATGCTGCTAATTTCTTAAATTTTTATATAAATATTTTTCACTTTCATAATACATTTTAATATTTGATTTATAATATTTGGTTTACACTTATTTTAAATAGTTTTCATTTTTCATAATTTCTTTTATTTGCTTTTGTATTTTTTTTCATTTTCTTAATCATCGTCTTCGTGTTATTTTTAGGCGTTTATTGAAATTACAGTTTCTTAGTTTTGTGTTTTTTTCTAGTTTCTTGTTTAATTCGCTTTAATCAAATACATTTATATATTTATGCATGTATATGTATCGTATAATATGAATGCTATCTTAACCTTTACAATGAATATATAATAAGTAACAACATGTATTTTGTCAAAACATTCAGTGTATACATTTAGATAAGTTCTGAAAATTTTTGGATATGATAAAAGTCATCAAAATTGTGGGCTTCAAATCAGTGCTAACCACCGGCAGAGCGGGGTTGCATGCTGCAATCTCGGCACGTGTGTCTGCATGTGTGTGTGTGTGTATGTATACACATATATAATTCAATGAGTTAGTGTGCGTGTGTGTGTTGTTTGTAAATATCAGTGGTCAAAACTTCCGGTGTACTCCATTTGATATTGTGGGTTCTGTGGTATTCATCGCGCTCTTCTCGCTTACATATTCCGTGTTGTTGCAGTTGTTGTTGTTGACCGTTGCGCGAGTATTCTACTTCTTTTTTATGTAAATATTTTTGGTATTGTTTTTGCATTGTCTATTTAAATTTCGTAGTTGCGAAACTTGTTGGCTACATCGGAGTTCTCGGTGCCCCATTCGGTTTTCCGGTTGCCGTAGTAGAGCGCAGCACCACCCTCGGAGGCACGGCGATGGGCCGGATTGGGCGAGGCCGCCGAGAGCCCACCGCTGCCACTACCGCCAGCGCCTGTGGCGGCGCCCGCCTCGGGCAGCATACGGTCTTTGGTCTTTGGCGTGGCCCAGTGCATGGACTGTGGTTTGAAGAGATAATTATTGAATATATAAACTCCGTGCTCGTTTGTGCTGTTGTTGTGTGTGTGTGATCTACCATCCGAATCTCATGTAGTCACGGTGAATTGTTTGCTCTTCATTTGACCACTCCAATCGAGGGTATATTAATATAACATAAATGCGAGGGAAAATTTTTTTTGCGATTGCCGAGTGAGTTTTGATCTACTCAATTTTGTTTATTTTAAATGTGCTTGTCATTTATCGTTTTCCGAAAACAATTCACCGTTACTGTATATGGATTCACAGTTATAACTACATATATAAAATGTCGATATGTAAATAGAAGAGTGTACATTCACGAATGGATATGGAGTAGGGCAAATTCACAACATCAAGTATATTCGGAAATAATGAAGCCATTGCTGAAAAAACTAAATAAAGTACGTTTATCATGCAAAATTTTGAAAATTAAACAACTGTCTCGGAAGAGACCACCAGATTTGAGAGCTGCGTTATACAACGAACTCCTTTCATGAATCATATCGAGAACCTTGAAAAGGACGTTTTTTCCAGAAAACATTTTTAACTTTTTTAGTAAAGTATATTAAGCCGGGAAAGTTGGGTGTTACATGATCTGAACTACCCCAAATTGCCAATAGAGAAAAACCTATTTATCCTGCTGATATAAAAAGCCGTTTAAGGGCCTTAATGTAGCTTTATTTCTAAGGAAAAACATAAGAATAAAACACAGAATGTCATGATTATTGAGTTTGTGGAAAAAATCCAGATGTTTTAGGAGAATTTACAAAACGTAATAGACGTCATTTAACACCCAAATGCGCGTGTATTCAGTCGATATGTACAAGTAATTAGAAGATAAATTTCACATGTGATTCCCCCGGAGCATCAAGTGGATTACTGTGAACTCTTAATTTCCTCCCTTTTAATTTTTTCGTTGCTTTTTTTATTATTAAATAAAAGCTAAAATAGCGGAACTCGTGGTAAACTTTAGTAGACTTTATTCAGTATTTCAAATTTATCAAACGCTTCCAAATTTATTATATAGCAAGTTTTCTCACAATAGTAAACAACTGATTCGAATATTTCTTTTGCGTATGTTCGAAAAGACGAAAATCCAATGAGATTCTGTGACAACATTGAAAATCAGAATTGGTTTGCAAATCTGACAACTACGTATATCTGCATTGGATTCCACAACACCCCGGAATGTTTTTCAACTAATCATGGAAATTAAGCTGTTTTGATTTTATTGTTAAATACTTTCTCAGTTTCTCGCTGTCGTTGCCGAAAATACCTACGGCCATTCAAAAAATAGTTTCGATTTTGAATTTAACACATCATGTCCCTTGCTCAAGATACTATATAACTATAATCTTAGGAAGGCTTTCAGATCTCCTCATGACTACTTACTTACTTACTTCGAGAGTATATGTAACAAAAAAGCAGATTTTTCTTAGAGATTATGAGCAGTTTATCTTCCGTTGGCTCTTCTTCTGAACAGTAAAAATATTATTTTAAAATTTGTTCAGCAATATGGTAAAATCACAGCAACTATATTTTAAAAATACTCGTATTCTAGTGCTTATACTTCCCACTTTCCATTTACTATTTTAATTAACAAAATATGTGTGTTTGCATAGCAATTTGTGCTACTCATTTATGCTCTGTGGGTTCAGTGGTAAGAGAAATTATTACTTTCTGTATTTCATGCCATGCGATGTGGTCCAAGCGAGAGGGAGCGAATGAATTATGCAGATAAGTAAATATCGATTACTCCGAGGACAAATATGCATTCTTATTAGGCATGTAGCTGTGCGTGTGTGTACCTTTGCAAATGGCAGAGGAAAATAAAGAAGCTCTATAAATTTATTGCATAACATTAAACAAGTTTACATACATACTTATATTCTTAGGAATTTCAAAGTAACGCCAGCCCTGATGCAATTCCCACCGGAAATGTGGCAGGCTTCAAAATAAGTTTGCACAAAATGGAGGAGGGGGAATTGCAATGATAACAGCTAAATGGCAAGACACAAAATGACCAACTAACAGTTAATAACGGAGAAAGTGTTGCCACCCAACAAGGAGCGGCCATGTTTTGTGAAAATTTCGTAATATTTTAAAGCTTTCTTATACGACTATTTTCATTAGTAAATGTGCGACGGCGGAATTGTCTCAGTGAGTGCAGGGGATCAGAAGCGTTTAGTGGAGAATATTTTCATGGCGAAGCAGGGAAAGTGCAAGTCAGTATTCTATGCTACGTTCTCGCATAGTGCTGAGGAGTGTTGGTTAGGGGTACAATAAATGCATTATGGGGGCACGACGAGAAAGTTTTCGTATTATTTTATACTCGCTGCGTTCGATTTGCCACTCGTACCTCCTTATCCACTTTCTCGGCAATTGTGTATCTTCTCACCTGTCCAACGTGCTCCTTCATACCCAGCCAGTTCTTGTAGCTCATTGCGATGCCACTGTTGCGCCATTTGTCGTAGTTGGCGCGCTTCTCCGGGTCACATAGCGTCTCCTTTGCCTCCTGCAAGTAGATAAATGTGTTTTGTGGTTATGAAAAGGAAATTAGAAAGTTTTGTAGGAAAGAATGATTTTTTTTGCGAAAAATATTGATATATAAATATATATGTAAAGAAAACGATTTTTATGAGTTTGGCACAGCTTGTTATATAGTTGATATAATCCTATGATTATGTTAGTGTTTCATTGAAAAATGTATTGGTTTTATTTTAATAAGTTCTCATTGACAATGTTGCGTTGAAAAGAAATGCGAAACAATTCTCAGAATAAATTGAAAAGAAAAATCAGAACGGCTTATAGTTTGTATAACATTTTAAGGATTCCGTGTTAAAATTTCTATTGAAAATAGGTATATTTTTATTCTGTCTATTCATACAACAGAAATATTTGTAATATTCTACTATGTAGAGAAACATAAGACATATACAAGATATCTATCATATAAGTATTCATCACAGGCAATTTAAGATTGCTAAAAATCTGTATTGCCAATGGAGACTACACATTGCAAATGTTTAGCAATTAAAGTCTAAATATATTTCATGTCATCCATTGGTGGTAATGAACTGTCAGAAGGCCACGTGTTTTATGTTTTGTTGCGTAAACTGCAATTAAGCAAATAATATACAAAAAATAAACTTTAAAAACATGGAAAATAGTAATTAAATAGCGAAAAAATTTTTGTTTTTTGCTTAGCCTGAGGGTAAAATTTGTAGATTATAAAAAAAGAAAATTTTTGGAATAAAATTTTTTTTTAACATCTCTCACTTTTAAAGTAAATTTCTAGTTAAAATTTTTATTTCGTAAAAAAATTTTGATAAGTATTCTAGAAGCTGTAGAGAGTCCTCTTTCTGGCCAAAATTCGGTACTTTTTATTTATATTATATTTTTTGTCCAAAAAAATTTTAACAATTTCCTTTAAAAGTGAGCCGCCTAGATGTTAAAAAAATTTGTATTATAAACTACAAATTTTACCCTCAGGCTAAGAGCAAAAAAACATTTGTTTTCGCTCCATCCTAATATATATGTGGGGTTAATATTTTAATGATAATTGTTAGCATAAGTAAGTATCATTTCTCATATTTAATCAATTAATTGGTAAATAAACTTTATGCAACACTTATTTAAGTCTTTAAATATGAAATCTTATTTTTCCACATAATGCATTTGTAGTAGAAATTTTATTTTTATACTCCACATCGATTTTTTTCAACCTCATACAATTTTTTAAACGGTTCAAGAGCTCAAACATGCGCTTTATCAGCTTGAACATACCTACCCGACGCCATTTCGAGAATGATTATTTCATGACAGCAAAAACATTGCCAACCTTAATGTCAATATATTTGACAGATGGTTAGGAATGCGGCGTTAGTATTTTAATGGAAGACATTGCAACCGTTACTTACTTTTTTTCTCATTTAAAATTTATCAAGCTTCTTAAGTTATTTATTTATTTTATTATTTCAATGTTCGCTCTGGAATGAACTGAAACCCAGTTGCTCTGGCTCGCATTATGTTTATAAAAGCACGATTTTTTTTCTTTTTCAGTATTTATGTGACCAGTAAACTTCGCAAATTCTATACTTGTCTTTGGGACTTCAATGGATTGCAGTGCAATATTACTGAATCTACTATGAGTATCTGATCAAAAGGGTACTAGCTAAGCTGTTGTCCGTCCACTAGCACAAACACAAATATTTCCCGCTTTAAAATGGGTGTGTAAATTTATTGCCCTCAAATTAAAAACTAGTTTGCAGATATTCAAAAGAGATATTAGATTACACCCCGAAACCAATTAATTATGAGCTGATGAGTTGATATTATGTTCGCTCAATTGCAAACCAAATACTCGCAACTTCTTCTATTTGCATTTTACCAAACGAAACCACGAAACCATTTATTCCACGCATCCATAATAGCAAAAGTAATTAATTAACCAACCAACGCGGCAATATTTGATGACTTTTTTATGATTCATTTTATTTTACCATTAATTAATCAACCAATTTAAATAATATATATTTATTAAATTATTTAGTCTTGTTAGATGTGTTCTCATATGTATGTATGTATGTATGTATGTATGTAGTTAGATAGTCAGATTCGGCTTCCATGCTTTGCCATCACTGCCAACAAAAGAGCAAAGAATTCACAGAATTTTATATGGAATATTCTGCTAGTTTGTTTCAATGTAAGTATATTTCTGCATATTTAAAATTCCCCACATCTTCAATTTTGCTACAATAGTTGCAACAACAATAACAGCAACGACAGGAAATTCAGCCACAGCTCGCATTCAGCTATTTAAAGGTAAACCCCAAAGTAATATTTGTGTTAATTATTGCTTTTGTGCTCATGTGCATTCACTTTCAAGCAAAGGCGGGGGAGGAAATCGCATGAAAATCGTATAGAAGGGAAATTTGCTGAAAGTGATGGGCGAAAAAAAGGAATATAAACCTAAATTGGAGTAGAAACTAAAGTGAAGTGAATGAAACTTCCATTTCAAATGAGCAAATGGAGCAGTGAACATCGAGCGAAGTCTATGTGTATGTATGTATACACATACACACACATGCACATGTTCATTGTCCAGCGTTGACCTAAATATTCAGTGGGAAAGCGCTAATCGATTATTGCCTGCTGTCAACAACAAATGGCAGCTCCCAGCGTCAGCACACAAGCGCACGAGTATGTGTGTTTTTATGCTCGTGCAAACGGTGGCACGTACTCGTGCATTGTAAAAGTAGATCGACAGTGGCAAATGCTTTTGCGCCAAGGTATGTGTGTACTTATAGATAGGTAGCGAGTAACTGTCATATCCTGACAGCGACAAATGTGTGGGCGGGTGTTGCGCCCGAAATTCGTCCGCATGCTTTATGTGCTTCTAAAATTATACTATTTTAGAATGAAAAAACAAGATAAAGCAATTTACGCTTGAGTGTTTTTTGTGGGTGGGGGTGGTCTTTCCTAAACCGTTGTGGTGAGAAATAAATTATGTCCTGTAACTTATTTTACATTCATATCATTTATTAAGTTTTTGATATTCTTGCAAATGACTGGCTTCAAGGTGCGACAACATATGTATATAATCATACCGGGAAAGTTTCTGGATGCTTCTTTCACTTAGAATCGTGGATAGAGCTGTGAGGAACGATGAAGCCTGTACACTTATCAAGGGAACCTGTATTTTTTTTCAATTTTTAACAAAACTTTATAAACCCCAAAAATGTTAAATCCAGAAAATGGCGCTGAAATCAATAATTATTATGAATAATTTGAACGCATTTGGCTCATGTTTGAAATACACCCATATATAATATATGTGAAAAATTCCATAACTTAGAAAAATGAATTACGCTGAACTAACCAGTATGATAAATATGCCGATTTAAAGCAATAATTCTGTTTTGACCTCAACTATCTTTTTCACTCACCAAAATAATTTGGATTTGGGATGCTTGCACTTTATCTTGCCATAAATTAGAGGCAAGGTCTGTATACATCAATCTAATTATAATTTTTTTTAGCTCATTTTAGGCAAGTAACTGCTTAACAGTTGCGAAAGTAAACAATAAATTGAAGTCTGTACTTTGAATTATCTCTGAACGATATGCCGGCGTTGTGACGCTCCATTTATTTGAGTGCTATCGAATGCTCACCTCACTGCATCATTTCCACCAACCAGCAAGGGTCGACAATCAAATTGGGAAAGCTTTCACATTCGGTGGTTTCTCCGCCTGTGTGCTAAGTGTTTTAGTGGCTGAGCGGTCAGTGATGTTGCCTGTATTTGCCTTCAACAACTACACACCACATCATATACATCTATGTATGTAACATATTCTCTCTCCCGCGCTCCTTCTATCCATCATTGACGATGTGTTACTCTACGAGCACACGCATTTGTAGTGACAACTTGACTACGCTTTGACGGCTATTGTTCCCCTATATTGTATGTGTTTCAACTGCTTTACATTGAAATTGTTATTGTTGTTGTTAATGTTGTATGTACTTGTAGGTACAGCATTAGTTATTCAGAAAGTGGGCGCATAGCTGCGTGCGAGTGTGCGCCTCTAATCCCACTTCAATTGCCGCCTGTTGAATGCATTACCGCACGTGATCTTCATATGTACACATAGCTGTGCAGGGGGACCAGCGCCTGCAGGTACATATGTAAAGTTGTCATCTACCCGGCGCTTGTTGATTTTGTAGTCGACTGTTATTGCTTTTACTCACTCACTTACATACATACATGTAAGTATGTCCATATACACACAGCTATTAATTTGAATAAAACAATGTCGAGTTCCAGTAAAAACAAGGGAATTTAGCTGCAGAAAATAATAATTGAGTTCACTTCCCAAGAAATGTGATTGCTTGGATATTGAATAGCAGATAATTTTATATCTTTTAGAATGGATAAATTAAATTTTAGGATAAATTTCGCGGAACTTGGACTTAAGGGTAAGCCATTTGTGATTTTCAAAGAATTGATATATATGCAAAGCGAATGCTATTTGAGAATATTCTCCGAAAATTAAAAGTTTATCCAGCAAACAATTTTAGAGATACGAGCCTATCTGTAAGAACTTATTAACTTAGTGTAATCGCCTGCCAAAACTTTAAACGCGTTTTTCTCGAAACGCTGTTTTCAGAAATGCTGAGGAACATTTTCTGGACCGATTTTCCGATAGTGATCGAAAGAATATCATTACCTGGGTTCACCGTTTGTAATAATACATTTCATTGGATACTGGATTTGAGATAACTTTAAGCAGGAAAATCGTTCTCTCTTGCATGGGTTATTGTCTAAGGCAATAATGCAGTCTCCGAAGAAATTGTTCAGATCAGACCACTATATAATATAGCTGCCTTACCAATTGAACGATCGGAATCAAGTTCTGTGAAGCGTATTATCGTCGTATAGCGTCGGTTGCACCGAAGTTAAAGTTCTTATATTGTTTTATTTAAATATTAAATGAAATGCGTTTTTCAGATTTGCAACTGTATATAACCGCTTAAAGGACCTAATAACACAACGTTTGATACAATATGTCTCTATTTCCAAATGACGTCTTTATTCAGCATGCAGGAACCCAAATCGATTGGAAACTAAAACAGTTGATAACTTTCTATATAAAACTTTTGCAGAAATCCGTTAGGGATCGGTTGTTATAGTTTGATAAATTAAAATTGCTGGAAATATTATTGCGACTTTTTCCGAGAAGATTAAAAATGCTAATTGCTGACGATAAAATATGAAAAAAATCGAATACATATAATTATTTTGCATTCTATATTCTAATAAGACTGCTTAGATTGCCCGTTTTGTTTTACAAATATGCAAATTAACTTTTAGTGGTTAAAGAAGCACTGGAAGTGACTATTGACCTGAGCATTTAATTAAATGAAATTAAGCTTATTTCGAAATATTGAATTTGTGTCTGTGACAACAAAGTAGATGCTTTCAAATAATTCCATTATTTGATTTTATAAATTAGTATGAAATTCTTTTTGTTTACGTGTTTTTGTTACTACAATAGTATGTGTTTTCTTAGCAACGTAAATGTTTGTGAGCTTGTAGTAGTAAGTATATATAAGTGCATATATATATATATGTATATTAGTAGTAGTGCCGTAATATCATAGTGTAGCCTTTACATACACCATGAGATCCGCTTAGCTTCAAGGCTGCCGAAATGGTTCAGAACCAACAACAAAAATTCTAATAACAATAGCAAAGTTAATTACAGCAATTGCGCAACCACAAGTGCAGGCCTAAATATTTATGGGTGAGCGGACGAGGCGACATGTTGCATGAACAACAACACACATGATACACATGACCTTAGTGTAACAATTAATTAGTGAGTGACAACATTTGGTTGCAACAGGTCGACAGAGGATTGCCGTTCGGAATTGTTGCGGGTTGAGTGTGTTGTTGTTTTTGTAACGGAACTTTTACCTGTTTTATGTGCACAGGAAACCACTAACTTTCGTATCACTGAGCACGCAAATTTGCGGACATTGCGTTTTTTTTTTTGTCCAAAAATAGTAAGCTGGATCTTTCGCATTGATTTCGGCAAATAATGCCTCTGGTGTGAGAGTGGGAACTGTAAAAGGGTATATATATCTAGTGGTATGATTGTGGCAAGTGTGAGTAGTTTCTACAGAGTAGTCTTTCCAAAAAACACATTCATATATCTTTAGCTGGCCTCCTTAGGGATATCATTTTAATATATGTGTCCTTTCGTAGTACTGGGTTGAAAACTACAATAAGAGGTAAAAGGGGTGGGAAGATATAAAATAAAATACTAAGCTGTTTGTACACAGTGCAAAAATAGAAAAACATGAGCTGGACATGTAATGCAGATCGAGAAACTGGGCGTTGTTAGTCGTCGAGGACGCAAGTCAAATGCACTCACTCTCTGCCAAAGTGCAATTGTTGCGTATACGCAGTGGTGGGACGAAGGACACCAATGCACATAATAAGCCTGTCAAGCATTGTTGAGGTTTGCATCAGCTTCAAATTGTTGTAGTAATAGCACACAGCTGGCACTGAGTGCTTTAACGGTGCCATACAATTACACTGTTGCATGCATATAAGTAAACAAACACCCACACGCACAATGAATACAACATTGCAGATAAGGTAAACTTTTGTTAAATTCGTTATTTTCCACTTAAATCAGCTTAAATCAGATGTGTGTGTGTGTGTAGCCGCACCACCTGCTTGTGGTGGGATTTCAAAAGTAACCATTTTGCATGAATTTTGCCACCCAATCTTTCTTGGCTGACAAGGTGAAAAAAATGCTAGCGGAAACAAAAATAACAGAAAGCTAGTTGCAGCTTACTTTTTAAGCGTGAACTCCACACTCGCAGTGTGAGTCTTGCATGGCTTGCAACTTTCGTCGAACACACACGTAGACACAGGCAGACACGCGCACCAGCAGGCAATCAGCAAAGCGCCTTTCGTTTTTAAGTTGGCACTCGCGTCTGTTGCATTTCATATCCCTGGCGCTTTGTGAAACTTTTGCTTGGCGTTCGGGCGTTGCAATAAATAAAATAACACTGCGTGGCTTAAAACTGTCTAACAGCACTTACGCGCGCACATGAGGTACACACCAACGCACATTAATGCTTGCCGTATATTGGTGTGTCAATCAGGCTTCAGTGGTTGCTTTGTGCGAAGTTTTAAACGAGTTAGTGCCGTGCTGACATCTGCTGAGCTTTGCAATGCTATCGCGTTGGTCGTGCCTCGCTTGCGTGCAGCGCGTGCGTGATTCACGCTCACATATTGTTGCTTTCGAAGCAGCTGCATGCGCTGCCAATTTATTTTTAGTGCATTGAGCGATGGTGGGCAGACATGCTTGGTCATTGTGCGCAAACACTCTGTCGCTGTATTCCAGGCAACGCCAAGCGTGTGGTAATTTTATGTCGCTCGGAGTTTCTAAATCAAATGCGGGCAATACGATTGCGATGAATTATTTAGAAATTACCGAGAATTTTGATAAAGGCAACTTCACATGTCTAATATTAATGGCATAGAAAATCTTTTCCCAATTTCAGATAAAAATTAATTATATTACAGGGTCCAGCACTCAAAGTGTAACCAACTTCAGACCGCTGAAAAATCACAACCAGCAATTGTTCGAGAGCTCAAAGACCTAAAAGTAAATAAAGTATACCTGGAGCTCACATTCAAGCAGCTTGCGATTCGTTTTTGGACCATCTCAAGGCCATAGACAAGGCAAAAGGTGGTCATATCGAGCAAAAATAAATTGTTTCCGAATTTTGTGTTATTTTCATATATTTTGACCTTTAAGCTGATTAAAAGTTATTAAAAGTGGTTACACTTCGAGTGCCGCACCCTGTAAATATTATAAAAATTGTTTACCTTTAGCCGTTGGAACTTGGCTTCAGCATCCTTGTCTCCATCGTTCTTATCTGGATGGAACTGAAGAGCCAAAACTTTGTACTCAGCCTGGATTTGTTCAACCTGAAAGGAAAAAGTTTGTATGGACCTATAATTTTTTTATTTGCCAAATTCAATATTGCTTTAAATATATGTGTGTTTATGAATAGGACAGAATCAAATATTGCTGCTATTATAAAGTTACTTAAATTAAATTTTCTTATATATATTTCTTCAAAATTGAGTTTACCCAACACATCTGTGTGAATATTCTTTTTTTTAGACTTTTAGGTCTCGGTTGTCAGTGGTATTGCACTACTAATTATGAAACCACCGGGATATTGTAATAGAACTACTAATTAAATTGTAAAGGCTACCTATGCTATGCAAGAAGCTTCCAAATTAATTTCCAATACATCGGAATAAAACAATTTCTAAAACACATTCAAGAAACTTTGAAGGAATTGGATCTATCCACCAGGTAGGCTGTTATTTTTAAATCAGTTAATAGAAAACATATTTTTGCAAAAAATCGACTTTATTATTAAACACTGATGCCATCGAGAGTGATATTAAATCTATAAAAACGAGATTTACATTTGTATTTTATTGTGGTACAATTCGTCTTTTGATTCGGTTATCATGATATTGTCGCTAAAATTCTTTCCAGACAAGTTCTCTTTAGGTCTGAGGACTGGAAAAATTCGTGGGAGGCCAGGACCTATGCTTTAGATCGTCTCATGTGTACACATTACGAATTTATTTATGAAAATGATATAAATGCGGAAAAAAATGTGGAACATTTGAGGATTTAATAAGAATTAAACTTTGAAATATCTAAACCTAAAGTCTAGTAAGTGTCCAGTTCAAGTCAATGAAAATATTTCTTTGCGTTCAAAAGTAGTTCGCATGCCCTCAAAAATAATAATGCCGCCAAATTCTCAGAAATCAGTACAATCTATTAGTGGAAGTGAAAGGAAGGGTGCAAGAACTATGACAAAGTTATTTTCTAAAAATGAATTCAAGGATTTAAGACGTGATCTGTTTAGGAATGCAAAAGCAATCTGTCAAAGCATTGGAAGTGGAAAGTTATTGTTTTAATTACGTTTGTAGAAAGTTGCCAAAGCTTGGTATAAAAAAGTTGAAAGGTGGGCTATTTTAGTTCCTCAAATACGGCAATTCATGCAGAATATAGATTTTATTAATGACTGTTTCGCAAAGTTAAGCGTAGAAAAGTTAAATGTTGATAGTCGAAACTTTCATATATAAACATAAAGCACGAAATGATGAAGAAATTGTACAAAATATGCTAAACAACTTTTAGATTCTAAGGAGTATCAAGTTAAACTATATACCCAATCAGCTGGATAAATTTTCGGATAATCTAGAAAAATTGTATTTGATATTATAAATAATAGATATATTTGTGCAAAGAATTACAAAATCTTGAAGAATTGTCTTTTGTAGGTAGTTTCCAATATATGACCAGAAAGTTTCCGGAAATTGTAAATAAAACTAAAAATGTTTAATCTTCATCAATATTTATTTTGTCGACTTCAAAATATGCTTCTGAAGCGATATACATATGACACCTCTCTTTTCAATCGAAACATGCCTTGTAGGTCCGGGTCTGCGATCGTCTTCAGTTCCCTCTGCGAATTTTCTTTTACGACCTCAATCGAGTCGAAACGGGTGTGGTAACTTGAGTTTTGGAAACAAAAAAAGTCGTATGGGGCCAAATCCGGTGAATACGGCGGTTGATCGATGGTATTGAACGAGTTTTTGGTCTTCAAATCTTTCTGTAGCAACATGTTGTACATTAAGACCAGAAAGTTTCCGGATATTATTTTTTTTCGATATTCGTGGTTTGGTTCATCATGAACTCGTTCCAACGGCACAGACGGCCAATAAAGATTATTATTTGACCGTTTTGAGGCGTTCGCGCGAAAACATCCGTCGTTAACGGCCGGAATTGCGGGCCAACAATATCCGGAAGCTTTCTGGTCTTGTACACCGCCTAATCAAATTAAACTTATATTATATTCTTAGCACCGCCGGGCTCAAAATTTCAAGGACAAGATCGGTTTTAAAGAAAATATGTATTGCATGTGCCTAAATACAAATCAAAGAACTTACAATCACCCTTCCGCATAGAGTTAGATCACTTAAATAAAGGTATATCATAAAAATAATAACAGAATCTGCAGTCTTTTGCAAGCTGCTTAAGGCTAATAGAATCAACTAGCAAAGGAGTAGGCGTCAAGTTTATTTGAATATAGTACAGGCTGTATTTCCTAATTGAATACTGGGGTGTGTCAGCTTTGTTTGTCAATCCACTGGCACAAGTTAATGTTGGCTGCTGTTTATTATAACATTATTATCCTTGACATCGTTGAAAGCTCCACTTTCGTATGTTTTAGCAAATTATATACTACTACAACTGCATACAATCATACACACTTAGCCAAGCATAGCTTAATGTAAAGCTATTCGGTATGAAATTGGCGAGGCAATGGAATGAGCTTCACTTGGCCTAATCTGTGCTAAATAGACAGGCTAAAGCGAGACACGTGTACCCGCACCAGTCACATGTCTATATTTTGATTAGAATATACAGCGTTGCTTCCAGGAATTGCTACATGCAAGCCAGTGACCATATACGTATACGTTCATGTACGTGTGGGTGTGTGCATGTGGCGTATCCTTAGACTCTTCAAGTTGGCAGCTCAGGGCGACAGTTTATGATCAACTTTAAAGCCCTAAGAGCATAATTTTCGTTAAACTTCTGTTGCGCCAATGAAACATGTTTTCCCCACGTCTGCTTTACATACGTTCGGTTCCTGCTGTGCCTGGACAACTCACTTCGTGCGCTGGCCAAACAAGTGCGCTAAACAAAGGCGTAGAGGCGTAGGAAGCATCAGCTCAAGCCCAAGTTATAACGGTGTACACTTACGAACGCACACATAAGCGAGAGCAGCTGACAATTGTTGTTGTAGTAAACCTTGTTTTTGCTTGAGCTTGGACTCTACTTTTTTAATACGCTCGGGGATAATGTACATTTTCATTGTTGTGGGTTGAAGCTTTCTGCAGAATTTCCATCCTTTTTGAAAAGCACTGGCTTTACATGGCGTGAGCATTGTGTTTTTCTTTGTCGTTTATTTTACTAACTGTTGACAGGCGCTGGCTTTCTGCTTGTACATATTGGCTTTGTTTGTTTGCTTTCAGTTTTCCTTCGCTCCGGTGGCCAGGGTACACCTGTCTAGTCTAGCTTACACCATCACGCCTTAACCGCTTAATTAAGTTTTGTTTGGAGCAACTCGTCTTACAGACTGCAAAGTTTAGTGATAGACACTCTGCTTGATTCTGACAGTCTGTTTAATTGAATCTGGCCGCAATTTTATTTGAGTTTCGTGTCTGTTCTCAGTTTTCATCGTCGATTTATTTCCGAAGAATTGATAAGAATTTGTAAGAGTAGCATACCACTTGACTTTCAAAATATTATAACGCGATTGACGAAGATAGCTCTTCAAAATATAAGTTTGCCATTTAAGGACTCGATTTTGATCAATCAGTTTGTATGGCAGCTATATGTGATAGTGGTCCGAAATCGGCGCTTTAGGAGAGATTCACACTAATTTCTTTCTCATTAGTAGAACAGTAAAATGAGGTGAAGGTTTTGGATAACAGTTTAAGCATCCACAAACGAGATCAGTAAATTTTTCATATTTTCAGGGGGTGCCGAGTGGTGTTATTGCACAAACATTACTTTTTTTTTAATGCAACAAAGCTAACGCGATTGTAGTGAGCTTGAAGTATTATCAGATGGCAGCCCCTTTTGGTCTTAACAGACGATAGAGGTTGACCAATCGTACAAACAACGGGTATAAATGCAAAAAAATGCCATTATCAAAAAATTATAGAATATCAAGCGATTTCGCCAGTTTAATGACGATTTTTTTATATTAAATTCAAATTCATGGCTTCACACGTAAATTTTTCCACAGCAGAGTCGTCGTGTTATGCAATACCTTTCTATTTAGACACATGAGTTGATCATAAGCAACTATAATTCAGCCATTGAGCGATTTGACATTTTTTTTGTGTGCGAAATATTAGTTTCTACCAGAATTGCTATCGGTTTGCTTTGTAAGCGTGTGGCCCTAGTTTAAAAAAGTATTACGAAAATGCAAGTATAGTCAATCGAATTTTAGCTATGAACAAGCGATGTGCCTTGCTCACTTCACTTTTGCTTGAAATGTGCTTCAATATTGATGCAATATTTTTTCCAAGAAAGGACAAACTCAAACAACAGCCGAAATTTTGATTATAACAAAAAAGCAAAAAAAATTTTTTTCTTATGCTTTCGTAGTTAACGGAGCAATAAATAAAAATTTGCAACAATTGTGCTTGTAAAGCTGCTGTCAGATCTCTTCATAGCCGACAGCAACTTTGAATTCATTGCTTCCCAAAAGATTTCTACAAACATTTCCCTTTTTTCAATTCACAAAGCCTGCGGTGGGCTTGTTGTACATATGCCATGTCTGCTCCACTTTCATTGGCCTGACAGGAAAGCAATAAGAACCCGAAGCTCTTGCCGCAAGTAAAAGAAAAAAGATACAAGCTGTGGGAGTGCTTATGTTCGGGAATGTTAAGTTGGTTTCTTGTTTATTTTCTTCTCTCTCGCCCGTCCATCTCCATACTTGTATTTCTGCTTTAAAATATCAATAACAAGGTGTTGTTGCACAATATGCCAACTGGCCGTAAAAGGGAATACCTGAATATAAAATATTTTTACTGCCTTTAACGGACCGTATGTGCTTACGCACTCAACCACACGCATAAGTACAATGTATGGTTGGGAAAAGCTAACGCCATCGCAAATACATGGCTCAGGAGAATATCATGGAAGTTTTTCCCAGCTGAGTCATGACCATGACGACTGACATAACATAAGTTTTGTGTTATGTCAGCGCTTCAAGGCATTCGCCCACAGGCCTCACACACTTGCCCTATTTCTGTTTTTATTCCTCTCTTTTGCGTGAGTTCATTGTTTTTTTAGATGTTTGCTACTTCATTTGCCGGAT